TCTTCTCAGCGGCTCACGTGCAGGTTCGCCATGACCACGCAGACAGGCACCTGTGTCACAGGCCCACTCTCCCTCTGCAGGGTCTTGGGGAGGGTCCTTCCTGCCCTTCCAGGTGCTGGGGGCTCCAGGCGTCCCTGGGCTCGTGGCCTCATCATGCCAACCTCTGCCTCGTGGGGTCCCGAGCGTGTGTCTTCTTTTCCATCTCTCGTGATTGCGTTAGGGCCCATCCAGATAACCCAGGATAAAATCCTCCCAACATCCTTAACTTAATCTCACCTTTTGCCATATAAGGTAGCATTCAGAGGTCCCAGGGGTCTTGCATGGACTCTTTGGGGGGAAGGGCGCATTTTTCAGTTTCACAAAAATGTTCCCAAAATAACCTTTTCGAGTACACACTATCAAGTAAACTGTAAGCTTCCTGAAGGCAAAGATTTCCTTCCACTTTTGTTTTTCTGATACTACCTGGGTTAGTCTGCGCTCTGGGGGTCACATCCCTATTTATTTCAACTGTTGATCATTACAAATGACAAAAGGCAGGAGGGTGGCTTCAGATTTCTCACTCACTTTGTAGTTGGGAAACCAGTTAGTTAAGTTTCGAGTTTTGTTTGTACTTCGCCCTGATCTGCTCCATCATCTACACGAAGCACCTGGACTCAGCCAGGCTGGACCCCCACTCGGAGCCACACTTGGACCCCTGGGCAGAGGGAGTGACAGGTCTGCCCCGTCCGGCTCCTCCTCTCTGACTGAGCCTGGGGCCACGTGGGGGCCTCTCACTCCCCACTCTTCTGCTCGAAACACACGGCTCCACGCCCCCTCCCCTTCTTCCTCTGGGACCATGTCTTGTCTCTCCCGAGTGGAAAGGGAGTCTTCCTTTGGCACAGTCACCGCTACACTTCTGCCTTACGGCCCATGTCCTACGAATGTTCTTGACTGGTCCAGTCTATGCCACACACTTTTCATCTGCTACCTCAGCAGACCCCAGGATCGGGTGGGAATGCATTCAGCTGCAGCAATGGTCACTCTCACTAGTCTCTTCTCACTAAGCCAGGAGGCTGGAGGTTCAGGGACTGGCACTGGTTTGGAGCCCAGGTTGGGCACCTCTGCGATGCTGGTTTCTTACCCCCTCATTGTCCCAGGATGGCTGCTGCAGCTCCAGCCATCACAACTGTGTCAAGGCAAGAAGAAGGGGGGCCTGGCATGTGTCAGCTACACTTATCTCTTTTCCCAGAATATCAAAACTTTACCCCCAAATGCCACTGTAGCCTCATGCTTACTTCTTATCAGCCAGAAGTGGCCAACCGTAGCTGTAAGAGATGTAAGAGGTTCTCCACCCTCTCCATTGGAACTAGACAAGGTTGAAGAGGGCTGGGAACCACCCATCCCCTCGAGAGCCCTGTTATTTTTTTTCTAGAGATGAGAAGACTCAGTTCGGAGAGCAGCTTGCCCCGGACACAAGAGCCAGGGAGCCTGCCCACGGCCCCTCAGAGTGATCACGGGTGGGCTGACCCCCCTCACGACAGGCCCCGCATCCAGCTGCACTGTTCAACCTGAGTGCCTGGGTCTCAGTCCCACCTGCTGCCCTCCATGCTGCCCACCGTAAAGCGGATGTAACCAATGACCACAAAAGCATGGCAGTGCCTGGCCTCTTGCCATGTGCTTGCCAACCTCTGCCAGGTGAGGGCTCCGAGTCCAACAGGAACCGGTGTAGCGGCAGCAGGCAGGGCGATATTGGGATCTACAGAGTCAGTGCAGGCGAGCTCTCGGGAAGCAGTTAGGGCGGCTGAAATAGGCTGGCGGGGAAGGACCAGGGTGGGGAGCAGGCCTCCGAGGCCTGGTTACCCTGGCCATAATCCGCCTGGTCCAAAGGGCCCCTGAGCCCTGCACTCACTAGAGCCTCAGAGGTGGGGAGAAGGTCGCAGGTGCCCAGACCTGACGGAGGTGGCCTCGTCCTCAGGAGGGCTGGGGACCCTGGGATCATGGCTGAGGTGTGCCCCTCATCCCTGTATCCCCCCCGTCGGTGAGCAGTTGTGCGAGGGGCAGGGTGTGTGCACAGGGGCAGCTCCCACCTGGAAGGTGCTAGGTGCACCCAGCACCACCTGTGCTGCTTCTCCGGGGTAGGTGCCTGAGGGGCCGTCCAGATGGAGCCGGGGCCTGCCTGTGAGTGGCTGCGGCTCGCCCCATGCCGCTGCAGTGCAGAAAGTCAGGCCCGGTTGTCCTGCCTCCCTACTTTCAGAATGAGCGGAAGTTTCCATTTTCCTGAGAAGTCTCAGCTTTCTAGGGTCAGCAATTGCAGGGAGAGCTGGCCTCTGCTTCCTCCTCCCGGCTGAAGCCCCGCTGGGCAAGGAGGCGGCTCACGAGCTCTGGGGATGGCCCAGGCCAGCAGGACGGGAGACCCTTCGGGCTACAGGCTCCGCAGGCAGGGCATGGAAACAGGAGTCTTCGCTGGACGCAGCCGGGAAGGATCCTGCCTCTCGGGAAGTGAGCTGCGTGGCCGAGTGTCCAGGACAGAGGTTTGGCTGCCAGCCAGCCGAGCTGAGCCCGGCCCACCTTGGGGGCTCCAGCCGGTGCCCTTACGTCAGCCCCGCCCCAGCTGGGTCTTACTTGCACCCTAACTGATAGCGCAGCTAGATACAAGCGTTTTCACTCGCAGGTGAACACAAACCCCGTCCTCTGTGTTCAGAGGAGCTAGTCACGACGGTAGGATGTTCACATGAGCCCCCACCCCCTCTCGCCCGTTTGCCTTCCAACAGCCGCAGGAAGGTCCTCACACTCCGTCTCACGTCACACTTTGGATAGAGGTTAGTCGGCAAAATGATGCATTGACAAGTCACACATGTCGGTACCGATCTTGTGTAGAAAAGCAGCCGCGAAAAGGCTCTTTCGTTCAACATTTATGAACGAATAAGCATCAGAACCAGCGAGCAGCTGTCCTTGATCAGATGCTTCTCACTTGGTCCAGGGTGGAGCACCGGCTTCTGGGCAGTGCCTCGCGTGGGACCAGGGTGGGTTCCTGCCATCCGGCCAGGGAACGGTCGTCCGAGTTGGAGCTCGATTGTCGGAGGTTTGTGAGGATGTGTGAGTGTCAGGGTGTGTGAGTGTGAACGGGGGCGCGCGTGAGCTCAGTGGTGTCTGGAGCCGTGGTTGTGTGGGTCTGTCTTCAGGCTCCCAGAGGCTCCCTGCCTCCCGTTTGGAGGGCCTGGTGCAGAAGCAACCCAGGGCTGGGCTCGGGTCTGACACTGATTCTCAGTCCGGTCGCACCCAGCTGGTTGATGTTTCCTCGTGGGTGAAGTGACCGTGCTGGCGTTCACCCCAGGGTGGAGAGGTGGTGACACGAGAGCTCACGCAGTTCCCGGAGCGCGTGGCCAGCGCCACAGCTGCTCTGGTTCGGGGGCCAGGACAGCTCTGCTCTCCGGGGGAAGGTGGGAGATTGCCCCTTCTCCTCCCACCCCCGCCCCCTCCCAGCCGAGGCCAGTCAAAGAGTAAGGGAAGTCCAAGATGCTCCAGGCCGCCAGCCCCTGGAGGACCCCTCTGGCTGCCCAGTCCGCGGGACCGGCGTGGGCCTGTCCTTGGGTCTCCATCTCTGTCACCAGCCTTCACCCTGGGATGGACTGCCCGACTCTGGCTCAAGGCTGAGGGGCCTGGAAGCCTCCCTGGAATGTTCTAGAAAGCTGTAGAGGACTTGAGACTGGGTGCCCGGCCTGAAGTGACCTGCAGCAGGAGGAAGCAGCGATGTTTGGCGTGTGGGCTGTGCCCTTGCTGACAAGCCGTTTTTCTCGGGGGCCGGGGGGGCGCGGGAGGACAGCGACAGAAGCCTTTTGTTTGCTTCCGTTTACTTCTGAGAGCGGGATATTTGCTTAGTTTCTAGCGTCCTGGCTGCACCAGCTCCACTCAGGGGGCACCTGGTTGGTGACCACATGCCAGGCCTCGGGTGTGCCCGAGTCCCTCCACGGTCTTGTAGGAAGTGAGATGATGGCAATATGTGGCCTGGAACTGTGGGCAGTCACTTGGCAATCCGGACTCAAGATATCGCTGAGTGTTTGCCGGCCTCCGTAAATGGCAAAGCCCCACGGGTCTGGTGCAGCAGGCTTGAAGCCCCGCCCTGCTCAGGAGAGACTCAGGCACCCTGATGCCCCCCCCACCCCAGCCCCTGCGCATACCCCGTACCTCTCCCCTACACCCCTGTCTTCGCCCCTGCCCTACACCCTCTGCCATACTTCCCTTGTCTACACCACTGCCCCTCACCCCTGAGTGTCTATACCTGCCCTTCACCCCTGGCCCTACAAGCCCACCTACACCCCCCTACACCACCACCCAGGCTGTGACATGCCAGGGGATGTTGCCACAGGCCAGTCAAATCTGGGGTGAGAGGCAGTAGGGGCACCCTCTGGGGTGACCCGGGAGGGAGGGGGCACCCCCAGGGCTCGCGCTGGCTGGGGCAGATCCAGACTGTAAGGGAAGTCTTCCCTAAAGGTGCTCCACAAAGGGCCCAGTAAGCCGGACACGCCGTGAACCCCTCGGTCAGCTGATGAGTCTCAAGGCCAGACCCCAGATTTCATTACCTAGAAACTGAGGATGGGGGCAGAGCAGGACCCGCTGCCGCTGAGTCACCTGACCGTGGCGGGAGAGCACTGCGACCCCACGTGAGGAGCCCTCGCGCAGAACCTGGGGCGCCCGCAGCCCAGGACGCAGGCGAATCTGGGGGTGGGTAGGGTCCCCAGGTGGGGCAGGTGCCCAGGTGATGCGAGGTCTCCAAGTGCGTCGAGTTCCCAGGTAAGCCCTGGGGCGGCACCGACTTCCCCTAACGTTTCCTCCCGGCAGCTTCGTCCACTTGCTCACACCCCCCACCCCGCAGAGGTCCTTGGCCACGCCCCTCCCCGCCCCCTCGGCCTCGATCCGCCCCCTGGCCCCGCCCCCCGGTCCCACCCTGGATCCTGGCCCCGCGCCTCGGCCGTCGGCAGCCACAGCACGCAGGCGCGGACAGGTGTGCGCCGTTTGAAAGAATGGGGCCGGCGGGGCGGCTGGTTCTGTGTGAAGAGAAGATCTGGGGGAAGACCGGGCTGGCGCCTCACCGCGGCCTGGGTGCGCGGCGGGTGGCGGGCGGCGGGCGGCGGACGGGTGGGCGGCGCTGGCCGGGGGCGCGAGCTTCCCGCCGAGGTGTCGGCGGACCGGTCGGGCCAGAGGTGCCGAAACGCGACCGCGGTTCCCGAACGGTCGCAGGCCTGGGGGGGCGAGGGTGAGGGGTGGGCTGCGGGGCAGGCCGGGAGCGGGTGGGGAGCCCGGAGCAGCGGGGGGTGTGAGGGGCAGGCCTGGGGGGCCCGAAGTGGGGGAGGGTGGGGGAGGGGCAGGGGTTCCGCGCTGAGTCCCCGGAGAGGTGGGGGCCAAGCTCGCCCTCGCAGACCGGCCGCGGGGAGCTCTTCCGAGCCGGGTTTGCTGAGCCCTTGCGCCAGTGCTTTTCGCCTTGACCGATAAGGTCACTTGGGCTTTCTTTCCCCGTTAATAAGGTGCGTTAGGCTGATTTTCTGAAAAAGCTTGGAGCGCCTTCGTGTCTGGAGGAGGAGCGTGCCCTCCCTTAGTAGGACTCCAGGGTGTCCCGGCCCCTGCTCCTCCTGTGCTGAGCACCTGTGGGCCCACGTCCTGAGGGATACGGCTCGCTAGTTTTCTGTTTTCCTGTTTTTGTCTAGTTTTGTCGTCCACGTAATGCCCAACTCATGAAATAGTTGGTAAATTGCCCCTTCTGTTTTCCAGAAGAGATTGTGTGAAATTGGTGCCGCTTCTTCTTTGTTTGATGGAGTTTTCCAGTGACCTTATGGGCCTGGAAATTTCTGTATTTGAAGCTTTTAAATGACAAATTCAGTTTCTCAAGTCATTACAGAACTGTTTGTATCATCACCTTCATCTTAGGTGAGTTATAGTTGTTTGGGGTTTTGCGAAACTGGTTCATTTCATCTAAGTTGTTAAATTTATGTGTGTAGAGTTTGTGGTATTTCCTTATTAGCCTGTTAATGTCTCTGGGGTCTGTAGTGATACCCTTCTTCCGGTCCATGTTATTGGTCATCTCTGTCTTCTCTTTCTTGGTCTTTCTGGAGGTTTATGGATTTCATTAATCTTTTCAATGAGCCAACTTTTGTTTTTTCTCCATTGGTTTTCTGGTTTCAAATTTCATTGATTCTGTATAATTTTCTTCTTTCTGCTGCTTTGCATTTATTTTGCTCTTCTTTTTCTTGATTCTTGAGATGAAAGTTTAGATTTCTGATTTGAGACCTTTTTTAATATAATATAAACATTTTAGTGCTATAAGTTTCCCTCTAAGCACAACTTTAGCTGAATCCACAAGTTTTGTTATGTTGTATTTTCATTTAGTTCACTGTGTTTGTGTATTTCCCTTGACTTCCTCTTTGACCTATGGATTGTTCAGAAGTGTGTTCTTTTCATTTTTGTGTGATTGGAGGTTTTCCTAGTTTGTTTGGTATTTTTTTCTTTTTGTTATTGATTCTGGTGTGATTCCATTATGGTCAGAAAACATACTCTGTATGATCTTAATTGTTTTAAATTTGAAGTTTGTTTTATGGCCCAAGATCTGGTCTATAATGTTCCAAGTGCACTTGGAAAGAATGTGTACTGTGTCATTGACTGGAGTGTTATATAAATGTCAATTTGATCTTGTTGACTTGTGACGTTGTTCAGTTCTTTTGTATCCTTGCTGATTTTCTGTCTAGTGATTCTCTTAATTACCAGAAGAGGGGTATTGAGACCCCTGACTCTAATTGTGGATGTATCTGTTTCTCTTTTCACTTAAAGATCCTAAATATGTATGCACCAAAGCTGTGCTATTTGGTGCATACATATTTACAATTTTTATGTCTTCTTGTTGGGGTGACCCTTGTAGCATATGTAGTATTATTCCTCCTTATCCCTGATAATTTTCTACAGTGAGATATCCACTTTATCTGATATTAGTGTAGCCACTCCAGCTTTCTTTGGTTTGGTGTTTGCAGGGTATGTCTTTACCCATCTATGTGCTATTTCACCTTTAAACCTACCTATATCATAATATTTGAAATGAGTTTCTTGTAGACAGTGTATACTGTATATCATTTTTAATCTACAGTGCCAATCCCTATCTTTTATAGTGTATTTAGACCATTTACATTTAATGTGTTAATACAGCAGAGCTTAAGTGAGACATTTATTTTTTTTTCTGTTTGTTCCCTTTGTTTTTCTTCTTTTGTTTCCAATTTCCTGCCTTCCTGTGGTTTACTTGAGTATTTTTAGTATTCCATTTTGATTTACCTATTGTATTTCTGAGCATATCTCTTTGTATAGCTTTTTTAGTGGTTGCTCTACAAATTACAGTACACAGTATGTGATTTAGCACAGTCTACTTGTGTGAACGGTTTATCACGTCAGGTCAATATAGAAATTTTACCACCGTTTAGGTTTCATTATCTTCCCACTTTATAATTTAGTTGTCTAGACATTTCCCCTGCATACCTGAGAACCACAGTAATGATATGACGTTTTCTTTTTATAGTCAGCCAACAGTTTAAATAGCTTAGGAGGAAACACTGACCCACATGTTTACCTGTTTCATTATTCCTTCTTCATTCCTGATGTCCCAGGTTTCCTTCTTTTATCTTTCCTTAATGTTTGAAGATCTTCCTTTAGCAGTTATCTTAGGGAGGTGTGCTGGTGACAGATTCTCTTAGTGTTTCTTCATTTGAGAATATCTATATTTCACCTTTAGTCCTGAAGGCTGTTTTTGGTGGATATAGATTTCTGAGTTTAAAGTTCTTTTCTTTCAGCAATGGAAAAATGTGAGAGCACTTCCTTTGTTTCAGCACCATGGTTTCTGAGGAGTAACGCCCTGCCATGGGAGTTGTTTCTCCTTCTGGGTAATGCCTCTCTCTCTGTTGCTCTCAAGATTCTTTCATTGTCTTTAGTGTTCAGAAGTTTGATTCTGATGTGTCAGTTTTTGCCTTTATTCTGTTTGGGGTTTTCTCAACTTCTTGAATGTGTAGGTTTATGTGTTTTGCCAAATTTGGGAAGTTTTCAGCCATTATTTCTTTAACTTAAAATTTTTTATTTTTAGCCATACTGTTTTTCTTTTCTTCTTTAAACTCTGATTGGATCTCCACTGGGACCCCAATGACATGAATGTTAGATTGCTTTTTCTTCTTCCACAGGCCCCTGAGGCTCTGTTCATTTTTTTAAAGTCTGTTTTCTTTCTGGTGGTCAGATAGGACAATTTTGTTCAGTTTATCTTTGCATTTTCTCTCTTTGAATTTTTTCCTCTGTCATCTCCATTCTGTTATTGAGCTGCTCCCATGGTTTTTTGTTTGTTTCTTTCAGTTATTATATTTTTCATTTCTGAAATTTGTTTGTTTCTTCTTTACATCTTCTGTTTCTTTGCCAAGAACCGCTGTTTTCTTCATTCATGTTCATAATTGCTCATTGAAGTATCTGTATATCAGTTGCTTTAAAATCCTTGTTAGATAATTCTAATTTCTGTCATCTCATTATTGGTATCTATTGATTGTTTTCTCTCATTCAGATTGAGATTATCCTAGTTCTTGATCATTTTTGATTGGTCATTTTGATTGGGACTCTGCTTCCTATTTAAATCTTGTTACTCAGTACTGGCACTGCCTGGGTGCTGCCTTGTTGCTGAGGTGGTGGCCAGGCCCCTGTCACACACGTAGCATCTGCAGATGCCTCCTTACAGCCAGTCCAGGGCAGTAGTCATGTCCACTCACACTGCCCTGGTGCTGGCCACCGTGCGAGGCCAGGTATACGAGGTACATTTTTTTTTTCTTGGCGTTGGGCTGGAGTGGGGCTGAGGTTGTCAGGAGTCTGTCCTGCAAGGCCACCCCTCCTGGTCCTTTGACCACGGACAGCAGGCTTACCCGTATCTTTTGGTAGGTGTCCTTGGGTGTTTCTGGGTGGCCAGCTTCTCTTGCACTCAGATCGGGATGTACAGGAGACAGAACAAAACCAACCCTCAGTGCTCGACCATTTTCTTCAGGTCCCTAGACAGTCCCCACGCTTCAGAGTCGCCACGCTTCAGAGTTGCTTCCCGTGTTCTTGTCCAGGGTTTTTAGGTCTAATAAATGGGGAGGAATAGGGTGAAATATGTCTCCTCTGTCTTGTCTGGAACTGGAAGCCCAAAAACCAGTTTCATATGTAATCAAGATGTGTTTTAAAACAAAAGTTCCTGGGAAGATACTGGTGTATCCAGACACAGTGTCTTTTTCATCACAGAAGCTTACTTTTGTAGTGATGTTTGTCTAACAGCTGCTTACCGGGTGTGCCACGTAGAGGTGTTCGGTGCACCTCGTGTGCAGCTGGCCCTCACCTGTAACAGCACGGGTGGTCAGGTCAGCTACCGAGTGGGTTTCAGATTGCGATCCCTGCACAGAGGCCCACAGGCAATGGGGCTGAGCAGTCAGGGGTGTAAGTGGGAACCCCCTTAGGAGGGTTTCCTGGTGAGAGGGTTTTGGAGGGAGAATAAATTATTGCAGTAATTTATTTTCAATAAAATAATAAACTTAAAATCTCTTAATTTTCTATTCTTAGCTGAACTTCGGTCATTATCTATTCCTGGAACTTACCAAGAAAAGATTACTCACCTAGGAAATTCTTTGATGAATTTAACAGGTCTAAATTCTCTAGATCTCTCACGAAACTCCTTGGTTAGTCTAGAGGTAAGTTTTAGGTTTGTTTCTAGAAATAAAATGTATTGCTGTCAATAGCAGTGGGTAGTACATTTATGGTAAATAAGGCAGTCTGTTTTATGACTCTGCTTCTAGTACTTGTAAGCCATACACTTCACGGTGATTGTAAGTCTTGCGCTGATTTTCTTGTGTTTGCTGTGAGCTGGATTTCTTATGCATCACGTTATGTCTTCGAACTACTTTAACGAGAAGTCATAGCTCTCTGATGAAGATGGTTGTATCTGTAAGGGAAATAAGATAAGGCCCGAAAGAGGAATGTGTGCACGCCAGTCACCCTTCGTCCTTTATCAGCTGGCGTTCTCGTCATCCACACAGCAGGCGTCGGCTGTCCTCTCCCCGCGGTCGGCACGCGCGGCCGTCTCACCGTGGGGGCGCAGGACTCCCAGCTGAGCAATACCTTCCCCCCTTGCTCTCCCGGTGATGCTGCGTGTGCGTTTCGAGCGCGTCTGTGAGGTTGGGGGCTGGTTCGTGTTAATGGCTGTCTTGCCGTGTTTGTCCTGGCAGGGCATGGAGTACCTGGCGGCGCTGGAGCGTCTCAGCGTCTACCACATCCGCATCTCCTCGCTGGCGGAGGTCTTCCGGCTCCACTGCTTAACGGAGCTCGCGGAAGTGGACTTCCGGCTGCACCCTGTGGTGGAGAGCAAGGCTGACTACCGCCTCTTCGTGGTGCGCATGCTCCCGCGGCTGCGGCCGCTGGGTGGGCCGGCCGCACTCCGGGCCTCGCTTGGTGCTGCCCGATGGGTGTCTCGTGTTCTTGGGGTGATGGCGCTGTTGACCCTTCGGGAAAGGGAAGCTGATTTCCTCCTCTCACAGGAGAGCTGCCTGGAGGGTGGCAGGGAGCCCCTTCCTTGCGGCCACAGATGGCTGCTGGGCCACGGGCACAGGCATGGGCTGGCTCTGCTTTCTGGCTGTTCCTGGTGCCCTGTTTCCTGGCATGGTCTCCTGGGCATCGTCTCAGGCTGAGCTGGACACCTGGGTTCAACCTGGTTTTACGTCCACCTGGGAGGACACGGGCGAGAAGTTCATCGTGCCACACCCTCCCCAGGTGACAGGCACGAGAGTGTGAGGTCCTGTTGGCAGGTGCAGTCACCACCTTGGCTCAGTGGCCCGTAGCCTTAAAAGAACCGGATCTCTCAGGCTCGCAGGCCGAGCGACCAGGGTGCCCACCAGCCGTGCCCAGTCAGGAGGGTTGTGCTTGGGGAAGCCACAGCGTCTTCCCACCCACTGTCCCTGCTCTCAGGAGCCACTTTGCTGTGAGCAGTGTGGCCAGGGCACTGCTAATGCCGCCCCCATGTCGCGCTTCCCGGGGAGAGAGCTGGAGCGTGAGCCCGAGGGCATGCTGGCGTGGAAACCCTGGGGAAGGAGGGGCTTAGAGTCTCAGACCTGGGTCCTCCTGTGTGAAGTGCTGATTAGTGGTGCAGCGGTGTCTGATTGGAGGAGGGTGGTCCTTCTGTGCCCCCAGTGATCATGGCGTGTTCTCCGTCCTGAGGGCCCTTGACTGCCTGGGGAGGCTGGGGGGCTTTCAGGGCGTCTCCACCTCCCAGGCACTGAGCTACCCAAACCAAAATGAGACCCACATCATGGCAGCATCTGTCAGGTAAATGCTGGGCTCCATGGTGGGCAGGCCATGGCTCCTGTCCTTTCAGGGTCTACCAGGGCCTGTAGACACCCCACCGGCGGCACCTTTCAGCCGCACACAGCTTGTCTCATGAACACCCCAGCTGCGCGCGTGCGTTGGCTTACCTCCTGGACCCCGGTCCTGGCGGGCCGCGAGCTCTGGGGAGCCTGGCCGCACCCTTAGGCTGTGCCTGCCTGGGCCTAGGGGCACTGACCCTCAGAGGCATGCTGTTTAATTTCAAACCTACTTAGAATTTCAGCATTTAATGTTAATTTTTAGATATTTGGGAGGATTAAGTGCTTGTGTTCTAACTTTTATTTGACTATTATGTGTCCTGTGAACAATTGAATTTGACTCTTTTTCAGAAGCGTGACAATCCTTATGGAAAGTTTTTGCAGTCTTCAGTCTTAAATCATTTGTTTCCGTTCGTGATGAAAGTTGTAAATTCAGTCTTAGACTGCTCGTACAGAGAAGGGCTTGTGAGAGCCTTCCCACACGTGAAAGGTGCTTCCAGACGTGAGGCGGGAGCATAACTGGGGCCAGTCAGTGCGGGAGTGGGGGACGCTCGGAGGCCCTCTCTCCCAGCAGGGTGCCGCCAGAGTGATCTGGGGCGCCCTGGGCCGGGGTCTGGGAGAGTGCCGCAGTGAGGAGAGCATGCGGTCTGGGGGGCAAGGTGGGTTTGCATCTGATTTTAGTCATATTGAGTTTGAATTTAGAGTGGAACCGTCCAGAGAAGGATGCTCAGAGTAAGGGACGTGGAACTGACGCGGAAGCGAAGTTCAGGCTGGGCAAGTAGAGTCACATGTTGTCGGCACGACGGCAGCGTCCAGGCCCTGAGACGGGAGGCCCCAGGCTGGTGTGTGGTGGATGGCGTCCCTGAGAGGACAGAGGGGCTGCTGTGCGGTGGCCACACCTGTGGAAGTGGGTACTGGGCACCTCCTTGTTCCCTCGTTGCTCACTGAGCTGGTGCACCTCCCGGGGTGCTGTGGGCTCAGTGCTCTCTAGGAGCTCTGTGGCAGCCATCCCGAGGGCCGAGCTCCGGCGTTCGGGAGGGGAGCCCCCCTCGGGTGCTTCTGAGGAGGTGCAGTTGTGGACGAGTGGGGTCTTCTTGGGCCCAGGGCACACGCGGGGACAGTTTAAACTTGGCTCTGTCTCCTGTTCTGGTCCCAAGGATCTGAGGATGTAAACCCTGGGCGCCAACACATGGCCAGGGCGTCTTCTCTCCAGTGTGTTGAGGCTCCTCGCCCGTGGACATTTGCTAGGGGTGTCAGTGTGGTTGGGAACCTCGCCCAGCACCCAGGATGTGCGTTAAGAGGAGATGAGAAGGACGAGACTGCGTGAGAACTTGCGTGTGTGTTTCCTTTCCTGCCTCCGGGGCATCTGAGGTGCAAGCCTGGTGCGAGCTGCCGGCCCTCTGGGAATCAGTGCTCAGCATTGCTGGGAAACCAGATGTAGCCCCCGGAGCCCAGCCTTGCTTTCCTGGGTCTGCCCAGTGATCTGGGGGATGCCGTGGTGGGGTCAGCCCTAAGGGGAGGGAAGGTCCCCAGAACAAGGGATGGCAGTCCTGGTCACACGCACGCCATGTGTGGCTGGCTGGGCGAGGGGGCACCTTTAGTCCTGAGGGGAGGCCGGCAGGCACACCGCGGGGTTTGGTTTTGGGCCCTGCCACCTGCCTCGTGGCCTGCTAGTTCCTCTGCGGCATCTCCTCCCTAGATGACCGCCCTGTGAGGGAGAGTGAGTGGAGAGCATCCCGGCTGCATTTGGCTTCGGAGGAATCGCTGGACTCAAAGCAGAGCTTCCCAGCCGTTTTCAGAGTCGAAAGGTATGAACAGGAGTGGTATTAACTAAAGTGCTGATTGCCACCTAGAGGACAGACATCCAGGGGAGCGTGGGGAAAAACGCTGGATACCAGCTGGGGATCAAGGAGACTGTGGGACAGCCTCTCTTCCTGTCGTCCACATTTTCTATATGGTATTTTTAAAAATATTTAAAATGGTTATTAAAGTGATGGATGTAAAATACGTGGCACAAAAGACCTGCGGTGAGAGGCAGCAGTCCTTTCTCTCTACTCCTGGCCCGCTCCTCAGAGGCAGCCTCTTTCCCTTCTGTAATTGTTTCTGCTTCCAGGTTCTGTTTCAGTTACTTTCTGATCTCTGAACAACGCAGTTCTTGGCTATTTCTGGATGTGAGCACTTTGAGCAGATCTGACAGCTGCCGGAGCCTCCTCTCCCCACCCTGGTGATGTTAGTGCTTGGCTCTGCTCCTTCCCGCGTTCTCTTTCAGTGCTCTGTGACCAGGGCTCCCGCTCTGCTTTGGCTGGGCTGTGGGAGCCTGTGCCCGGCTTCTCACCACCTCCCAGCTCCTGCCGTCTGCATCTTTATGTCTAACTTTAGATTGTCAGGGTGGGTAGTGTTCAAATGTGCTCTGAAAGCATACAGTCTTCATGTGTGTGGTTGATTCTAAAGGGTAGAAGTCAGTCAGTGGTGTTTACCTTGCTTGTGATGTACGAGGATTATATATTCCTTCTTGTACACCATTTTGATTTGTTTGAGGCTTTTAACAGTTTTCTTTCTCTTGCATTGTATGCCTTAGCTCATCTGTAAATTTCTCTAATGTAGAGGTCGGCCGACTTTATTTGTAAAGGGCTGGGGAGCATATTTTCAGCTCTGTGGACCATATGATCTGTGCTTCAGTTTCTAAACCCTGCCTTTGTAGTATGAAAGCAGCTATAGGTGATACATAAACTAATGATTGTGTTCCAATAAAACTTTATTTACAGACACAGGCAGTGGGTCAGATTTGACCTGTGGGCCATACTTGGCCAACTTCTGTTCTAAGACCAGTTTCAAGTCTAGAATCTCCTCTTCCCTCAGATGCCTCCCTTGGAGCTCCCCTCCCCTCACTTCCCTATTTCAGATCAGACTCATTGCTGGGTAGACAGCTGCACGTGGTGCCCTGCGGAATGGTCTGTGTATTGTGTACCCCAGATTCGTGTGCTGAAATCCTAACCCCCAGCATGATGGGTTTAGGAGATAGGGCCCACGAGAGGTGATTAGGTCCTGAAGGTGGAGCCCTCATGAATGGAATTGGTGTTCTCTTATGAAAGAGACCCCACAGAGCTTGCTAGCCCCGTCCACATTTGCCTGAGTTTTGTGAGTCACGTGGTGTCAGTCCTCTGACTTTGGCCTCCTTTAATATTGAGTTGCCAGTTCTGGGTCTTTTTCCTTTCCGTATAAATTTTAGAATTAGTTTGTCAATATCCACAAACTACCTTGCTGGGATTTTGATTGGGATTGCATTGAATTACAGATTGAGTTGGGAAGAAACTGACATCTTGACACTATTGAGTCTTATCCATGAACGTGGAATATCTCTCCATTTATTCAGTTCTTCTTTGATTTCATTTATCAGAGGTTGGTGATTTTCCTGATATAGATGTTGTACATATTTTGTTAGATTTATACCTTAGCATGTTGTTCTTTTGAGGCTAGTTTAGGTTTTTTAATTTCAAATTCCAGTTGTTCATTGCAGGTATTTGACTTGTGTACAACTGATGGTGACAAAGTACCACGAACAGGGTGGCTTAAAATAACAGAAACTTACAGTCTTACAGTTCTTAGGCTACAAGTCTGAAATCAAGGTGTTGGCAGGGTTGCTTCCTTCTGGAGGCTCTGGGAGAGAATCCATTCTATGACTCCAGCTCCGGGTACTTTGCTGGCAATCGTCAGTGTTCCTTGGCTTGTAGATGCCTCCCTCCAATCCTTTTCTTCCTATGGCTGTCTTCTCTCTGTGGCTTTTCACAGAACTCCACATTGTGCTTGCCTGTCCTGTGTCCAAATTTCCCCTTTTTATGAGGACACCAGTCGTATTGGTTAGGGCTCCCCATAATTTCCTCATTTTAACTCGATTACCTCTGTAAAGACCCTATTTCCAAATAAGGTCGCATTCTGAAGTATGAGGTGTTGGGACTTTGGCATCTCTTTTTTAGGGGACACAATGTGACCCGTACATCTTGAATTTTACAATCTTGCTATAGTCACTTATTAGTTCCTGGAGTTTTTGTTTGTTTTTTGGTTGATTCTTTGAGATTTTCTACATAGATGGTTGGTATGTCATCTGTGAACAAAGATAGTTTTATATCTTCCTTCCCAATCTGTATACCTTTTATTTCCTTTTCTTGTCTTATTGTGTTAGCTTGGACTTCCGGTACAATGTTAAAAAGCCGTGGGTAGAGGGGACATCCTTGCCTTGTTCCTGATCTCAGCAGGATAGCAGCTGGTTTCTCACCACCAGGTGTGCTGTTAGCTGTGGGCTTTCATAGGTGTTCTTTATCAGGTCGAGGAGGTTCCCTTTGATTCCTAGTTTACTGACCACTTTTATCATGAATGGGTATTGGATTTTGTCAAATGCTTTTTCTGCATCTATTGATATGGTCATAATACTTTTCTTCTTGAGCCCGTTGATGTGATGGATTACATTGATTTTTTTCAAGTATTGAACCAGCTATGCATACCTGGAGTAAATCCCACTTGGCTGTGGTGTGGACTCAATTTGCTGATACTTTGTTGGGGATTTTTGCATTCGTGTTCATGGGAGATAACTGGTCTATAGTTTCCTTGTATTGTCTTTGCTGGTTCTGGTATTAAGATAATGCTGTCCTCATAGAATGAGTTAGGGTGTATTCCCTCTGTTTCTGCTTCTGTCTTATGGAAAAGATTGTAGAGAATTGGTATAATTTCTTCCTTAAATTCACCAATGAACCCATCTGGACCTGGTGTTTTAGGAGGCTATCAATTATTGATTCAAGTCTGTAATAAATACCAGTCTGTTCAGATTATCCATTTTTCCTGGTGTCGGTTTTGGTAGATTGTGTCTTTCCAGGAACCATTCCATTTCATCTAGGTTATCACATTTGTGGGCATAGAGTGTCATAGTGTTCCTCTGTTATCTTCTTGTTGTCCATGGAACAGTTCCTGCTGTGCTCCTTCTTTTAATTCTGATATTAGTAATTTGCGTCATTTTTTCCTTAGGTAACCTGGTGGCATAGAGGTTTTTCCATTTTGTTGATCTTTTTAAAGAACTAGCTTTTGGATTGGTTGATTTTTATTTTTTATTTTTTCCCCGTTTTCAGTTTCATTGATTTTTGCCCTAATTTTTATTATTTCTTTTCTTCCTCCTGCTTTGGATTTAATTTGTTATTTTCTTAGTTTCCTAAGCTAGAAGCTTAGATTATTGATTTTGGAGCTTACTTCGTTCTAATATATACAGTGTTACAAATTTCCTTCTATGCGTTGCTTTCACTGCATCCCACAAATTTTGATAAGATGTATTTTCTTTTTAATTTAGTTCAAAATATTTTTATTTTGAAATATTTTAGTTCAAAGTACTTCTGAGATTTCTTTGACTTGTGTTATTTGGAAATACGTTGTTTAATCTCCAAGTTTTTTGAGATTTCCCAGTTATCTTTCTGTTATTTATTTTATTACTAGTTTAATTCCACTGTGTCCTGAGAACAAATATCATAGGATTTGTTTTCTTTTAAGTATGTAAAAGTGTGTTTTAGGGCCCAGAACGACTCTGTCTTGGTGAATGTTCCATGTGAGCTTGGGGGGAATGTGTATCCTGTTGTTTGGATGAGGTAGATGTCACTGCATCCAGGTGATGCGTGCTGCTGAGTTCAGCTGTGTCCTTAGTGAGTTTCTGACTGCTGGACCTACCCCTTTCTGAAGGAGAGGTGTGGAAGTGGATCCATCCATTTCTCCTTGAGTTCTATCAGTTTTTGCACCACATAGTCTGATGCTGTCTTATTAGGCGCAGACACGTCAGGGGCTGTTATGTCTTCTTGGAGAACCGGCCAGTTGTCCTCACGTCATGCCCCTCTTTATCCCAGATCACTCTCCCTGCTCCGAAGTCAGCTCTGTCTGAAAGTAGTGTAGCTACTTCTGCTTTCTTTTGATTGGTGTCAGCATGGTCTGTTTTTCTCTATCCATTTACTTTTAATCTATGTGTCTTTATATTTAAAGTGGGTTTCTTTAGGTAACATGTAGTTGGGCCTTTTATTTTGATCCACGCTGACAATCTCTGCCTTTCACTTGGTACATTTAGACCATTGATGTTTAAAGTGGTTATTGATACAGTTGGATTAATAGCTGCATGTTTGCTGTTTCTACTTGTTGCCCTTCTTCTGATCGCTTCCTTCCTTTTGTGATTTTCAATGATCACTTTATGATTCCATTTCTTTCCTTGGCATGTCAGTTATGCTTTCACTTTTAGTGGCTGCTCTGCAGTGCGCAGGACAGGCAGACCTCGCTTTTTGTGCTTTGCTTTATTGTGCTTTGCGGATATCGTGTTTTTACAGGCTGCGGGTTGTGGCAGCCCCGCGTCAGGCAAATCTCTTGGTGCTGTTCTTCCAGTGGTATTCGCTCACTTCATGTCTCTGTGTCGCATTTTGGTAATTCCTGCAATATTTCACGCTTTTTCATCTTTTTATATTGTGGTGATCTGTGATCAGTGATCTCTGATGTTGCTGGTATGACTTGCTGCAGGCTCAGATGATGGTGAACATTTTTTAGCAATAAAACATTTTTAAATTAAGGTATGTACATCGTTGGTTAACATAATGCTATTGCTCACTTAATAGACTACAGTACAGTGGAAACATAACTTTTAGATGCACTGGGAAACCAAGAAAATGGTGTGACTTGTTTTATTGCAATATTTGCTTTATTGTGGTGGTCTAGAGCTGAACCCTCAATATCTCCAGGGTCTGCCTATGTACATTGACAAGTACTCCAAGACCACTTTCAGACACTATACCACTTCACAGGTCGTGCAAGTACCTTATAATAACAAAATATTCCTAATTCCTCCCTCCTGTCCCTTGTATCATTGCTGTCATTCATTTCATTTATACCCAAACTATAACCCTGCGTGTAATACCTGAGCATAACGTATTGAGTACATTGTTGCTATTATCTCAAACAAACTGTTGCCTGTTAGATTGTAAGAAAAATAGAAGTTTTTATTCTGCCTTCACTTATTCCTTCTCTGATTTGAGTTTCTGACCTGTGTCATTCTCTTTCTCTCTAAAGAACTTCTTTTAATGTTTCTTACCAGGCAGGTCTGCTGGCCACAAATTCCCTCAGTTTTTATTTATCTGAGAAAGTCTTTATTTCTCCTTCACTTTTTTTTTTTTTTTTTTTTTGCGGTACGCAGGCCTCTCACTGTTGTGGCCTCTCCCGTTGCGGAGCACAGGCTCCGGACGTGCAGGCTCAGTGGCCATGGCTCACGGTCCCAGCTGCTCCGCGGCATGTGGGATCTTCCTGGACCGGGGCACGAACCCGCGTCCCCTGCATTGGCAGGCGGACTCTCAAGCACTGCGCCACCAGGGAAGCCCTCTCCTTCACTTTTGAAGGATAATTTTGCAGGATACAGAAGTCTAGGTTGGTAGTTTTTTTGTCTCCATACTGAGTCTTTCACTATTTTTGCTTGCATGGTTTTTCCCTCTGGCCTATTTCAAGATTTTTTTCTTTGTCTTAGGTTTTCTCCAGTAGAATATATTCCTCGCTGTAATTTTTTTGGCATTTACTCTGCCACTGTTCTCTGAACTTCCTGGTTCTGTGATTTGGTGTCTGACATTAATTTAAGGAAATTTTAAGTCATCTTCAAATATTTTTTTGGTTCCCCTCTCCTCCTTCTGGTATTCTCAGATGTGTGTGTTACACCTTTTGTAGTTGTCCCACGATTCTTGGGTATTCTGTTCTGGTTTTTTTTCAGTCTTCTTTAATCTTCGCTTTTCAGTTCTGGAGGTTTCTATTGAGATCCTTTCCTCAGCCATGCCCAGTCTAGAGCTCATCAGAGGTGTTCTTTTCTGTTACAGTGTTTTTGACTCTAACGCTTCTGTTTGCTTCTTTCTTAGAATTTCCATCTCTCTGTTTACATTCCCATCCGTTCTTTCATGTTGTCTCTTTTTTCCATTCGATCTTTTAGCATTGTTACTCATAGTTGTTTTAAATCGGAGTCTGATTTCATCCGGCATTTCTGCCATATCTGAGTCTAGCTCTGATGCTTCTCTTTTTCAATGTTGTTTTGGCTATTTGGAGTCCCTTGAGATTCCAGACGCATTTTAGGATGGGTTTTTCTGTTTCTGCAAAAGACGTCATTGGGATTTTGATAGGATTGCACTGATTCTGTAGATTGCTTTGGGTAGTATTGACATTTTAACAGTGTTAAGTCTTCCGATCAGTGAACGTGGGGTGTGTTTCCATTTATTTATCTCATCTTTAATTTCTTTCAGCAGTGCTTTGCAGTTTACCTGTCCTTGATTATCCGAAGACTAAGCTACCACAGAGTTTAGGTGATCTGGTGCAATGTCCTATTATCCAGAGGTGACAATGGATACCCAGAGAGGCTGCATGTGTCCACTGTCAGGTTTCTGTGGTCAGACCCCGAAGGAGAACCAAGTCCCCTTCTTTCTGCAGGGATCTGGAACACTTTCAGTATGAGAAAATAAGGAATATCATTCATTGATCTCTCAAAGTATGATAAGGTATCATAAAATCAATATTCATAGTATGTGATTGAGTTCTATTTTGAAGAGTGATTTCTTAAGCTGCCTTTGTTGGAAATGAGGTGTGTACCTCTGTATGGAGGGACGTCCTATTCTAAAACCTCACATTTCAGTTGGTAGGGAAATGTTTTCACTTAATGTGAAAATAGAAAGTCGGAACACCACATCCTTGAACTTGCTTTTTTGTTGGTTTGTTTTTTGTTTTTTGGCCGCGCTACATGGCATGGGGGAATCTAGTTCCCTGACCAGGGATCGAACCCTCGCCCCTGCATTGGGAGCAGGGAGTCTTCACCACTGATCCCCAGGGGAGTCCTCCTTGAACTTTCTTGATCGCACGTATGGCACTGTGGACGTGCTAGGAGATCCTAGCACAGGGGAGCTTCTTGGGACTTCTGTCCTTGAATGAATCCTGGTGTGGCGACCAGCTGTCCTGGCTGAGCCGCTCCAGCTTCACTGTGGTAGAGACACCAGCTCCTCCTCCTCGGAGACCTTGTGGCCGTGCTCGCGGTATAGGCGTCTCCCTCCCGGGGTCTGTACGGCTGGAGTGCTCTGTGGGCTGCAGCACAGCACTGGGTTTGCTTTTCTTTGCAGACTGCATCACTCCGGAGCCAAGTGAGCTGCCCCCTCGGCCAAGAAGTGCTTGTCATGGACGCGGATGATGAGGCGGCCCTGAACCTCATTGCCGAGTGTGGGTGGGGCTTGAGCAGCCCTCCTGGGAGCACGAGTTCCAGCCAGCAGGAGCAAGAGGCCAGCTTCCAGCGCTCCAAGGTAGGCTGCTGCTCCAGGGAGAGGGCCAGCGCTTGCAGCCTTTCTGGGAGGTTGATGCCTTCTTAGAGAACTTACCTTTAAATGCAGAATCTTCATGAAATCTTGTGCACTTGTAAATATCAGTAATTTGGATCATGGAATTACAAAAGGAGAAGTCAGTGTATTTGAGGTGGATGTAGTCATGTTGCAGGGCTGTTTATACAGGTCCCTCCTCAGATCAGTTACAGGGATAGGGAAGAAGTGAGATGTCTAAGCAGACAGGGAGGAAGCGTCCTGTGCTGGAGGGAGTGAGTCCCTGCCGGCCACGAGGGGACTCCCGGCTCCAGCTGCACGTTGGTGAGAATGTGCACGTGAACTTCATGCCCTTTGCTGGGGCTCTTCCGCCGGGACGTGTGTGTGAGCTTCAGCTCCGTTGCTGCTGCTTCTGAGTTGTGGGTTCCTAAGAGCTTTCCATGAAGACGCGGCGGGCTGGGGCTTCCCTGCTGCAGGACCACCTCTGCCTTGGCGTCCCCACCAGCTCCTGGGACTGTCAGTCTCTCTAACGCTGGCTCCCGTCCTGGGTGTATGGTGGTATCTCTTGTTGGTTTTAATTAGCATCTCCTGAAAACAAGTCACCACAGCCTCTCCATGGGCTCACGTCTTCCGTGGCGTTTCTCTTCCTGTCTGTTCCCCTCCCCTTTTCTTTTCTTGGTGTTGAGGCATAAGACTTCTTCATGGTGTTTGAACACAAGCCCTTTCTCAGGTATAGTACTGCAAGTTTCTGCCCACCCTGTGGCTTGCCTGTTTTCTAAGCAGTGCTCCCTAGAGCAGTGTTATTTCAGTGAAATTCCGTTCTTCGTGTTTCCCTTCGTGATCGTGCATTTCGGTGTGCTGCCCCTGCTTGTGGAGGGTTCCTCCCACGGACTGGTCCACGTGCTGGGGGTCAGTGCTTAGGTCTGAGGGCCGCTCTTTTGAGTGAATTTCGGGGTGTGGCGTGAGATAGTGGGTCAGGCTGCCCGCCTGTCCCCCCACGTATGTCCAGTTGTGCCAGTGCCATTTGTTGAGAAGACTGTCTTTCTCTTCATTTAATAACCTTGGCGCCCTTGTTAATTCAGTGGGCCGGAGTCTCTGGGTTCTGTTGACCGTCGTGTCTGTCTTGATTCCTCGGCCGAACAGTTTCTCCTGAGTGCGGCTGGGTCACCCTCCCCTGGGGCGCTGTGGGCGGTGACCGCTGCAGGTTCCCAGCAGGGTGGGCTGGTGTGTGTTATCCACTCGGCCTTCTTTTCCCGTTCACCCCACGGAAGGAGTATACTTGACAGATACGGTACACTGTTGGGAGCCTGAAATAGAGCTTTTAAAATGTTTTTTAATGCAGCAGAGTCGCGGCACCTATTGAGTCCTGAGTCAGCACAGCAGCAGCGTGGGGACTCCCTGAGGAAGGGCCCCGAGAAGCGGAGGGGCAGCTCCAGCGGGGCTGGGCGGAGCCGAGGATGCAGGGCTGGTGCGTGGCGAGCCCCCCCCACCCCCGCGGCGCTTTGCCCCTCGTCCAGGCGGCCCCGGCCCCACTGCTTGCCCTCGTTCCTCTTCATTGTGTGTGCGCGCGACTCCCTAAGGTGTCTTAGGAAAGAATCTTCTCTATGAATGGAAGTTGACACTTGTAGAACACCTGTGGTTTAGGTTCCTGGTCTGTGAGTACACACTCTCACTCACACACAGTTTCTTCCAGATACATACATGGGCCCAGTTATGACAGTGGCTACTGTTACAGTTTAAAAAATGAAAGACAAGGGAAATTAAATAAGTTAATTGAGTGTTGTTTGCACGAATATGGAAAAGGCGTCAGAAACGTCCCAGTGTGAGCGAACCTAGCCCCTGCCTGAGGCTCGTGCAGGTGAGCTCGTGGGGACTTTGGTGGGTCGTGATGGTGGCTGCCCAGTGCCCCGTGGCCACTGCAGAGCAGGCCGTGGCATCGAGGCACCAGCTGCATTTACTCCACGTCCTGAGACCTCCTGCGTGTGTCCCTACACACGCATCTACACATGTATGTGTGCGTGGGGATGCGTGGATGCGTGTTCGGGTCCCGGATCCTGTCCGGCGCACGTGGCGTATCTTAGCGTCGTGTCTCAGACGCCTGTGAGCTGGAAGTGTTTCTGCGTCCTCCCATTGTCTACGTCCTGGAGGGTTTTGAAGCATTCAGACTGTGCTTCTGTGGGCCGGCCCCCAGTCCCAGTGTGGCTTGCTCTGCTGGCCCCTGGTGGCCAGGCTCAGCTGTGCTGTGTGGGTGTGGGCTCGTGTGGAGGCCCTGGGCTGGAGGTGGGGGACAGAAGAGCACAGGTTGCAGGTCAAGGTGAGGGAGCGCAGTGCCGCATGGTGGGGGGGAGGCCAGGTCCCCGGGCTGGGGGCAGGGGATGGCATGGAGTGGCCGGTGGGCATTTGAGTTGTGGGGGGCGGGCAGTGGGTCCGTCTGAGTGGATACGGCAGACCAGTCCCAGCAAGGGGCAGAGGTGGCCAGCTGGTGCTGGTTGGGTGGACTTGGTGACGTATGCTGATGGACAGGGAACTGCGGGGGAGGGCTGTCCGGGTGGTCTCTGGCTTGGGCCGCCAGATGACAGTGCTGTCCGTCCGCTCAGGTCACGAGCACTTGCTGGGGACGCCCTGGGTATGGCCCTGTTCACGGAGCCCTGAGGGGAGGCCTGGCCAGAGGGCAGCCTTGTGGGGCAGATTTGAGCCTGGGTGCCTGCAGAGTCCACGTGCAGGAGGGTCCAGGGCGGTCAGGCTGAGGGGCCTCAAGAGGAGAGCCTGCCCTGGGAGGAGGGCCCTGGGCTGTGGGGTGCTGGGCCCCGAGGTGCCCGGGAAGTGGCTCAGCGACTGGGGAGGGAGGGTCTTAGATCCGACGCGTCGACAGTGTCTCCGGTAGGAACAAGTTGTTAAATCCACTGTAACTTCCAGATCTTAAGTTGTTAGCCACTTGACCCATCTTTGTTATGTATAGTTCTGGTGAGAGGACATACAGTAATCAGTCGATTCATTTGTTAAAGTTACTACTTCAGTTCTGTTACTCTTTGGTGGATTTTCCGTATTTGCGTGTGCGCGTGCATCCGTACACAGGCACACACATGCCTGCACACACGCTCACACGCACACACACGCATGCATGTGCACACAGCTGTTTAACTTGCAGTGCCGGCCCCTGAGCCCAGGGCACCTGGTGGTGAGGGCTCTGCCCCCTTCTCTGTTGCAGACCCCACGGACCCCACCCTGGCTCAGCCCCTCCTTCTCAGAAGACAAGTTTATTGACGCAAAAGGGGTTAAATCCCTTTTGCCTGCTCGGAAAAGCACAGGAAGCGAAGGGTGCGTGGCGGGATGCTCCGGGCCCCTGCAGACCAGGAGTGTCTGAGCTGCTTGGAGGAGGGCCGGAGCTGGGGCCCTGTTCCCGCTCGGCGGCCTGGGGGCCCGAGCAGCAGAGGCCGCACAGCGTGCGTGAGCTGAGCCAGGTGTGGAGGCCATGGGGCCGCCGTCCTCTGTCAGGCCGTGTCTTCCTTCCTCAGCGCTAACACGACCCCGAGGTGAGCGCAGCTCTTAGGTGAACTGCTCCGCGGCGCTGTCACCGCCCCATTCTCTTAGAAGCGCGCTCCCAGGCTGCTCGCCTCTCCCCGTGGTGCAAAGGGCCTTGAGGTGGAAGTATCCTCCCGGGGGCGCTGGCTTACGCGGCCTCCTCGTCCCTGGCTGGAGCCACCCACGGCGCCCTCGGGAGCGGGGGTCCTGGGCGTGCGTCTTTTGGCTCTCCGAAGACACGTCCTCGTTTGGGAGTGCAGGTTCTCGCCCAGAGTCGCCCAGAGTCACCCAGAGCGGTTGTGGACGGTGCTTCGTCGCCCTTGTCACTGGCCCAACTGGAGATGGAGACATTCTCAAAGTTTGGGGCACGAGTGAAGACCACCCAGCAGACAGTGGGTGGCTTGCCCTCCGGGCTCACGGGGCAGGGGGCTGGCCCTGCCACGTCACTCCCAGGCGGGCGCGGGGGGAGAGCGTCCCAGCGGAGAAGGGGCGCAGGTGCCCTGACAGGGGCTGCAGCCCGGGGAGGCCGGGGGCTGGGGCTGGAAGGGGGCGTCCCACGAGGTTGGTGAGGGGAGCGCCTGGCCCCCTGTGGTTGGTCCTGAGCTGGAGACATAGAATCAGGGACGCTGGGCCCGTTGTACGTGGTGGGTGGCTTCCAGCCGCAGGCCGCGGGGCCAAGCTCTGCTTTCACAGCTCGTCTGGCCGCTGTCTGTTCGCCTCTTTAGTCTCTCACTGGATTGAGTGAAGGAAGGAAAACGAGGACTTGCTTGAGTTGGGAATGTGCTTGGGCCTTGCCTGTCCCCAGATGGGTGTCACCCCGGGCGGAGCCTCACCTGACGGGCTGGCCCTTGCTGTGGGGTTGGGACCTTGCAGGAGGGGCGCTGCCTGCGGGGCCCCCTCCTCTGAGCACTCTGACCCTGTGGTGAGATTGTCCTCTTGGAGAGGGCACGACCCTTCTGCCGGGTGGAAGGCAGAAGCCTGACCACGCTGGGGACCGCGGCTCCATCACCCACGCCTGCGGCTGAGCGTCCAGGTGCAGCTCCCGGCGGAGGTATGTGTGCTGATGCCCACAGGTGCTCTCTGCCTCGGCTCTTTGGGACCAGCAGCCGGCCTCAGTGTTCCCACGCCAACTGGTCCCCGGAGACGGCCACCCCGCCCTTGGTGTGACCTCGGGCAGAGCAGTGTCCCCTCTGCGGGCATGTGTTTCCCGGTGCTCCTGGGGCTCCCGTGGGTGCTCAGTGATGCCAGGAGTGAAGGGCTGTCCCGGCTCAAGTGGCCCAGGTCGCTCCCACCCTCCCTGCAGGGTCTCGCTGGCTGTTCCAGACGGCCTCGAGGAGGAAAGCCCTTTATCTGTGTAACAGTGGGGAGCTCCGGGCTGTGAAGGGTGGCGGGGCTCGTCGCCAGCTCTGGAACTGCTGGCATTTACTCCCCAAATCCCCGGACCCAGGAATTGTTCCCTAGGCGCTCAGAAAGTGGGCAGGAGCCACCCCGCTTTCTGCAGTAATCCCTTAAAATTGGTAAAACAATTTCTAAACGGAAAAAAGAGAGCGTTGCCGTGAATGCCAGTGACTCTGCGGTCCTGGCGTGGTTGGGCCCGGGGTGGAGCCTCGGCAGCCTTGTGCCTGCGCCGTCCCGGCCAGCCCTCCCTCTAGTCCCACGTGGGCTGCGCTGCACTTAGGGCCTCCGGGGCTCCAGTGACCGTTCAGGCCGAGACTATTCTCCTCCCTCCCAGAATCGCTGGGGCTGGTTCAGGAGGGCCCAGGACAGCCGTCCCTGGGAACCGACCGGTCTCCTGACTGTTACACTAGGGTGACAGTTTCGCCGTTCCTCCCGGTGTGAGATGTTGTCCCCCGCCCCACACATGTGGACACACGTGCGGGGCGGGGAGGTGGATCCCATGAGCCATGCTTGCAGGCTTGTGGTGTGTGAACCGCCATCGTGCTTGTAGGCGGTGGGATGGGGCATCAGCGTGGCGTGCACGCCTAGTGCTGCATCGTACCCACTGGTTTCAGGCAGGGAAGAAGCCACGCTCGTGGTTTGTTTCCGTGCAGGTGTGTCCCAAGTTGCACTTGGCCGTGCCGCCCGGGAAGAAGGCCACCCTGGAGGTGGCGCTCCTCGACCTGGTGGGCAGGCACTGTAGTGGCTGCAGCCCCCTGCACGGCAGCGAGGTGTTCCTCGGCGAGCTGGCCTAGGGCTCTGCGGGCAGATGCTTGCGCCCCACTGCGGGGCGCTGGTCCCCGTGTCTCACTGGACCGCCTCACCGGCGTCACTGCCTCACTGTGCTGCGGGGAGCGTCCTGATGGTCCTGTTCACAGCGTCTGGGTTCTCGGGAGGTGGCAGACATGGAGGACTCCACGCGGCCTGTGGCTGTCGTTTCCCACCTGCTGGCGCTCCAGGCTTCCTGGAGGTATGTCATCAGCCAGTGGTGTTGGCATCGCTCTTCCTGGATGTTGCTTCTCCTTGCTCTGTTTTAATGTGGGGATTTGGAGAGACTAAAATGCTGCTGCTGTCTTCTCCGAATCCTCTGAGCATTTGACTGAATGCAGGGCCCTGGATTTGCTGACCTTTTGGTGGCAATGACTTGAGGCCCAGGAAGATGTGGCCCCTCCCCAGAGGGGACTTGGGTTTTCTTCTGCCTGGTGCCTGGGTACAGGGGCACACAGGGGACCCCACATCCAGAGTTGGGGTGTGAGACGGGGACATGCTGTGTCCCCAGGGCCACGTTCTCTTTCCCCACAGCCTGATTGCAGCCTCACGTGCCCCAGGGGGAGCAGGGACCTGCCAGCTCTCTCCTTCCAGCAGACCCCGATCTGCCTGGATCTCCCAGCTTAGCTGCACCATAGGCTCCCGAGCCTTCCACTCAGTGTCTTGGCCCCTCAGCTTCTCCTTCTGGAATCAGGGCGCCCTGAGAAGCTGGCGCCCCTGGATCCTGACCACATAAACCTACACCCTGTCAGGGCTAGAAGCAGGACTGTCTGCTTTCCCAGTCGTGGAGCAGCGCCAGGCCTGGAGCAGCAGTCGGTGCTGTGTGAGAGCGCGTTAAGGCAGACCTCCTAATGGTGGCCTTTCCCTGAGGCCCCTTCTCTAGGTCTCTAAGACTGTTGCTCTTTGCCTGTTGGTCCTCATCCACGGCGGGGGATAAAGAGGCCTGATGAGGTCATTTCAATGGCATACGTGTCCCTTTTCCAGTCTCCATGCCGGCCAGTGTTTTTGAGCCATGTAGCCCGTGTTACTCAAAATGCATTGAAGATGTTTTGTTTACACTCATCCTTTCAACATAAATGGTGTAATAATGTTTGATTCTTACTTCTAGCTCAGGCAAGACACATTTTGTCATCTGTCCAAGAGTTTACAGCCACTCAGGGCAGTTCAACAACATGTGAGTGAAGAAATTAGCTCCCTGACTGTGGAGAAGAAGTCTGTAGAGTCGCCTTGCTGAGCTACAGCAGCAGTGTAGCGTGAAGATGATGAGGTGGCGTGGGAACTCAGCGACACTCGGAAGGAGATGGTGAGTTAGTTCCGTTTGTTCACAGATGGGGCAAAATGTAGGTTTTTTTTTTTTTTTTTTTTTTTTTTTGCCGTACGCGGGCCTCTCACTGTTGCGGCCTCTCCCGTTGCGGAGCACAGGCTCCGGACGCGCAGGCTCAGCGGCCATGGCTCACGGGCCCAGCCGCTCTGTGGCATGTGGGATCCTCCCAGACCGGGGCACGAACCCGTGTCCCCTGCATTGGCAGGCGGACTCTCAACCACTGCGCCACCAGGGAAGCCCCAAAATGTAGTTTTGACATCACAGAATGAGAGTAGCTTCTCAACGCTGCTTCCCCTTACAGCTGTCGGGCACAGCACCGGGGCCCCTTCCTGCCCTTCGCAGGACGCGAACCCCCTCCCCCACCAGGCTCTCCTCACCCCCAGGGACTCCAGCTGCCCTTCAGGGACGCAGCGTGACTCTGTCACTCCAGGACCCCTCATGACAGTGATTGCAGATGGCAGCATTGCCACTTGTCCCAGCTCTGCCTCTCCTGGGCAGCTGCGTTCTGTTCTGAGAGAGGCCGAGTGGGAGACAAAAAGAGAGAGTGAGGCTGGGCTGGAGGTGGCGTTTCTGTGGCCCCAGTGTTCCCTGGCCCAGGCTCCCCAGAACACTGGTGAGAGAGGTTCCAGTTACCTGGCTGTCCTGTCTGCACTAGCCAGCTATGAGACCGAGGTGTCCTGTTGGACCTGTGGGAACTCCGCCACCAGGTGGCACTGAAGGGCAGCCAGAGCCAGCACAGTGTGGGCCTGGCAGTGGAGCCCACTTCCTGGCTGAGGCTGCCCTCGTCCTTTGTAACCTCGCCATGAGACCATCACTCATAAATGCCTACACTAAAAAGGAAAAAAGATCTCAAAATCTCAAATAAAGCAGCTAACTTTACAGCTAGAGGAACTAGGAAGAAGAACACACTGAATCCAGAGAAAGCAGAAGGAAGGAAATAATAAAGATCATAGCAGAAAGAAATACGAGTAGAAAAGCAACAGGAAAACAATGAACAAAACGGAGTTGGGTTTTGAAAATATACAAAACCAATAAACTCTTAGCTAGACTAAGAAAGAGAGGAGATTAAAAATCAGAAATGAAAGAGGAGGCCTTACAACGGATGCCTCAGAAATAAAAAGAGTCAAAGAATGGTTATATACAAGCACATTGGAGAACCTAGGAGAAACGGATAAATTCCTAGAAACATACAACCTACCAAGACTGTATCAAGAAGAAACAAAACCTAAGAGACCAATAACAAATGAGATGGAACAGTAATCAACCTCTTAATAAAGGAAAGTCCAGGACCAGATGGCCTCATGGCGGAATTCTATCAAACATTCAAAGCATTAACACTTATCCTTCTTAAACTTTTCCAAAAAAATAGAAGTAGAGGGAATACTTTAAAACTAATTTCATAAGGCCAGCATTGCCCAGATAGCAAAGCCAAATACACTGCAAGAAAAGAAAACTACAGGCTACTATCTGATGCACATAGATGTAAAAATCCTCAACAGAAGACTGGTATACCAAATTCAGCAACACATCACCACCAAGAGGGATTGTCCCCTGGAATGCAAGGTTGGTTCAACATACACAAATTAATACTCTACATTAACTCATGGAGAGAGAAGGACCACACAGTCATCCCAAGTGATGGAGATAGAGCATCTGACAGAGTTCAGCATCCATTCATGATAAGAAAAAAACTCAACAAAATAGGTGTGAAAGAAAATTTCCTCAACACAATGAAGGCCATCTGTGAGAAGCCCTTGGCTCACCTCACGATCAGTGGGGGAGACTGAATAATTTTCCTCTGAGACCCAGTATGAGACCAGGGTGTCCAGTCTGCAGCTTCTCTTCCACTGGAAGTACAGCTGACCCTTGAACACATGGGTTTGAACTACATGGGTTCATTTATACGTGGATTTTTTAAATAGTAAAATACTATAGTACTACACAATTGGAAGTTGGTTGAATCCATGGACACAGAACTGCAGATTTGGAGGGCTAACTATAAATTATATGCAGATCTTCAGCTGCAAGGAGAGTCGGCTCCCCAGCCCCCCGACCCCCCGTGGTTCAGGGATCAACTGTACTAGCAAGAGCAAGCAGGTGAGAAAAAGAAACAAAAGGCATCCAGATTGGAAAGGAAGGAGTAAAGTTACCTCTGTTTGTAGATGATGTGATTATTCATGTAGAAAACATTAAAGACTTCACAAAAGAAAAGCAGAACAAATAAATTCAGTGAAGTTGCAGGATACAAAGTCAGCACAACAAAAATCATTTTTATTTCTTTATACCAATGATTGTTCCCAAGCCATTCCATTTATAGCATCAAAAAGAATAAAATACTTAGGAATAAATTTAACCAAGAAGGCTAAAGATCTTAACACTGAAAACTATAAAACATTGATAAAAGAAGTTGAAGAAGACAAATGAGCGGAAGGATATCCCATGTTCATGGGTGGAAGGTTGTTAGTGTTAAAATGTCCATACTGCCCAAAGACATCTACAGTCGCAGTGTAAGCCCTATAAAAATTCCAATGGCATTTTCCACAGAAATAGAAAAAACGATTCTAAAATTTGTATAATTATTTTTCTTTTAATTTGTATTCTTCTTTTTGTAGTTCCACAAAAGACCCCAAATCACCAAAGTGATCTTGAGAAAGAACAGAGTTTCAGGCATCACGCTTCCTGATTTAAAATTATATCACAAAGCTATAGTAATCATAACAGTATGGTGCTGGCACAGAAACAGACATAGATTACTGGAACAGAATAGAGAACCCAAAAATAAACCCACACATATATGTCAACTAATTTTTGACAAGGGCACCAAGAATACACCATGGTGAAAGGATGATCTCTTCAGTAAATGGTGCTGGGAAAACTGGACGTTCACAGGCAAAAGAATGAACTTGGCCCCTTATCTGACAGCACACGCAAAATTCAACTCAGAGTGGATTAAAAATTTAAATATAAGACTTGAGACTAAAACGCCTAGAAGGGGCTTCCCTGGTGGTCCAGTGGTTAGGGCTCCACGCTTCCACTGCAGGGGGCATGGGTTTGATCCCTGGTAGGGGAACTAAAATCCCACATGCCGCGTAGTGCGGCCAAAAAAAAAAAAACCTAGAAGAAAACAGACGAAGAAAGCTCCTTGACGTGGCCTTGGCAGTGATTTTTTGGATGTAACACCAAAAGCAAAGGCAACAAAAGCAAAAGTAAACTAGTGGGACTACCTCAAACTCAAAGTTTCTGCAGAGCAAAGGAAAGCATCACCAAAATGAAAAGGTAGCCTATGGATTGGGAGAAAATATTTGCAAACCATTTATCCGATGAGGGGTTAATATACAACTCAATAGAAGAAAAAAAGAAACCCAACTAAAAAACGGGCAGAGGACCTAAAAAGAAGACATACAGATGGTCAACAGACATGTGAAAATGATGCTCAGTATTACTAATCATCAGGGAAATGCAAATCAAAACCAGAGTGAGCTATCGCTTCACACCTGCAGAATGGCTGTCATCAAAAAGACAAGAGATAACAAGTGGAGGATGTGGAGAGAAGGGAACCCTCGTGCACTGTTGGCGGGAATGTTCGTTGGTGCAGCCGCTGTGGAGAACAGTATGGAGGGTCCTCAGAAAGCCCACAGTAGAACTAGCATGTGATCCAGCAATCCCGCTTCTGCGTGTTTATCCGAAGGACGTGAAATCAGGATCTGGAGGAGAGGCGTGTACTGCCATGTTCGCTGCAGTATTAGTCACAGTGACCAACCTAAGCGCCCTTCAGCGGATGAGTGGGGAAAGGAGACGTGGTGTATGTGTACAGCGGGACATTATTCAGCTTTAAAAAGAAGGGAATCCTGCCATAGACCTCGAGGGCGTTATGCTAAGTGAAATAAGTCAGACGTGGAAAGAAAACAAACTCCATGATCTCATATATGGAATCTAAGAGTTGAGTTCATAGAGGCAGAGAGTAGAGCGGTGGTCACCGGTGGTGGGGAGGTGGGGGGAGTGGGGAGATGGTGGCCCAGGGCACAGAGTGGCAGCTCTGTAGGTGACTAAGTCTAGGGCTCTAAAGCGTGCCTGGTGGTCACAGTGAATAAGACCGCATGGAATCTGGAAATCTGCTGAGAGAGCAGATTTCCGGTGTTCTCATCACCCAGAAAATGGTTACTGTGTGAAGAGAAGATGTGTGTATTACCTCGACGGTGGCCGTCACTATGTACACGCACATCAGACCATCGAAGGGGCACCTTAAACATGATAATTTTTACTTAAAGACCATCGTGCATTCAGCATGGTGAGGTCTTTACCTCACTGATCATTATGGTTCAGTTTAATTGTGTGGAAACTATTTAAGTGTTCTTTCATTTTATTTTTATTTATTTATTTTATAGCCAAAATAAGTAAATTTGACCCATATAGATAATTGTTCTTTTTGGTCAAGCTCGTATGTTGTCAGGGTTGAGTGTGGGGGCCATGGAGTTAGGCTGCCCGGTGTGAATCTGGTGACCCCTGTGCCGTGTGATGGGCCCACGCCTGTGCCCTGGTCCCTCGGGGACTGCTGAGGTGACACCTGTGTGCTCAGTGGTGTCGGCGTTCCCAGCGCATGGTCCTAGCGGTGTTGCTGTCCCGCGTGGGCGCACCTCCTGGCTGTTCTCTGCCTTGCCCTCCACACGCTGCCGCCACCTGGCACCCTGCCTGCCATTGACGGCTGTTAGTGCCCTGAGCGTGGGATGCTTCCTCTCGTGCTTTCCCCCTTGTGCCTGCTCTCTCTCTCTCACTCTGCTTTGACTGACACGAGCACAGCCACCAGCAGATTTCTCCCATTAGTGTTGCTATGGTGTATCTTTCTTTTTCCGTCCTTTTAATTTATTGGTGCGCTTATCTTTAAAGTGGGTTCCCTGTAGGCAGCGTACACTTGGGTCTTGCGTTTTTAATCTAACTAACAACCTTTCCCTTTTATTTGCAGTAGACTTTTTAAAAAAATTCAATTGATTTAAACTAAAAAGCAGTAACGGTTCACCCCCTTCTCCCACCCCTAAGCTCTGCCTCTGGCAGGCACCAAGTTCTCTGTATCTGTGGGCTTCACTTCGTTTGTTTTAGATTCCACGTGTGACTGAGATCACATGGTATTCGTCTTTCTCATTGTAACATACAGCACATCTTCTTTATCCATTCATCATCTATTGATGGGCGCTGAGGTCGCTCCACAGCTTGGCTATTGTAAGTAGTGCTGCTGTGAGCATGGGGGGTGCACATATCTTTTCAAATTAGTGTTTTGTTTGCTTCGGATAAATGCCCCGAAGTGGGATTGCTGGATCTGCTAGCTCTGATTTTAATTTTTGAGGAACCTCCATACTGTTCTCCGTAGTGGCTGCACCAGTTCACATTCCCACCAACGGCGCACGAGGGTTCCCTTTTCTGCACACCCTTGGCAACACCTGTTATCGCTTGTCCTTTTGATGAAGCCGTGCTGGCAGGTGTGGTGACACCTCGCTGTGGTTTGATCTGCATTTCCCTGATGACTAGCGATGCTGAGCATCTTTTTATGCGCCTGTTGGCATCTAGATGTCTTCTTTGAAAAAATGTCTGTTCAGGTCCTCTGCCCATGTTTAAATCAGATTGTTTTTTCACTGTTGTGTGAATTCTTTATATATTTTGGATATTAACCCCTTATCAGACAAATGGTTTGCAAATATTTTCTCCCAATCCGTAGGCTGCCTTTTCATTTTGTTGATGGTTTCCTTTGCTGTGTAGAAGCTTTTTGGCTTCTGTCCCGTGGTTAAGAGGGTGGGCTGTAAGGATGGCAGCAGGTACTGAACCCCCTGTGTTAGGTTGTCTAGTGCTGCGTAACAAGTCACCCCCAGTCACACCTCAAACAGCACACGCTTACCCTGTGTGGTCTCTGTGGTCAGAGCCCAGGGTAGCTGAGCCGTGTGTCTTAGGGCCTCCTGAAGTTGTTGTCAGGCTGTCACTCGGGGCTGGGGTCTCCTCTGAAGGCTTAGCAGGGTGCAGGTCCTCCACGCCCATTCCAGGCAGCCCCGCAAGTGCTCGCGATGCGGCAGCTGGTGCGGAGGGTGCCACGTGGTGGCTTCTGTGTGCTGTGTGTGGCGGGGACGGGTCTCCTCCCCGGGCGTGAGCACCCTCTGTGCTCAGTCCCCCCGTTTGTAAAATGGGAGTGGAAGTAGCCACAGGGTTGCTGGGAGACAAGTGTCTGAAGCGTCTGGTGCTTACCATCTTGTCAAGACAGAGATCCTACACACAGCTTCATTTTTAGAGGCATAAGTGAAAAATAGTGAAGTGGTACCGGCATCCTCTGGGTGTCTGCGCGCAAATGGCTCTCGCACCCAGGAAGGGCTGCAGCCCCAGCCTGCGTCGTCCCCATGGGCACAGCAGGCCTGTCAACCCGGAAACAGAGGACTGTGGGTTTGGGGGTTTGGGCAGATGAGTAGTGGCACCCCTTCTCCTTACACTGTGCAGTTTGGGACCATTTGGATCCAGACAGACGGGCCCCAGATGCCATCTTTGTAGCGATGCAGCGTCTGCACAGAGTTTGACTCGCCTGTTTGGCACGCGTTGCTCTGTGTCTGCAGGATCACCTGAGGCAGCGTCTGGGCAGAACTCTGGAGGAAAGCAGTAGCTTGAAGTCTCTTCTGTTCAGCGTGAAAAAAGAAGTGAGAAACGCCGACGCTCCATCCACACTGAACTTGCAGATCACTGGTGAGTTCACGGTTTACTTGTACGTGTAAGAGTCAGGATTTCACAGGATTCAGACTCAGCAAGTGCAGTGAAGCGGGGTCGGAGCCCCCAGCCCTGCCAGGGCGGGCACGCGTGCCCGGGACCGTCTCTCTGAGCTGCTGAAAGGCCACGGGGCCCTCCCCGGGGCGTCCTCCTCCTTGGTTACGGCTCCTTCCAGACCCAGGGCATTTTTGTTTCCCTCTTCACTGTCTTGGATTCTGTTTTGCCAGTTTTGCAAAAGTGCCCTTGGGATTTCGAGGTGGGGTGCAGCCTGCTCTGGGGTAATGTGAGGTGACGTGGGGTCCCACAGGGGCTTCAGCCTGAGTGTCTGCTCCAGTCTGACCTCTCGGGGGTCTGAAACTTCTTCCTAAAAGACTGGGTGGTAAGCATCTCAGGGCGTGAGCACAGTCACAGCCGAGACCCTCCGGGGCCCGCCGCCCGGTAACCGTCCCCGCAGCCCTTCACCCCAGTCCTGTCGGCTGCCGGGGTCTTCTTCCTGAACGCCCAGCTGTCCAGCAGCAGATCAGCCTACGACTTCTGGCTGGCGCCAGGCCCACCTCCACCTGTCTGCTCCACGCTGCACGCACCCCTCAGGGGTGCCCGGAGGGCAGAGTCCCGGGGCTTCATCCCCAACAGCAGGGGCCGGCGCTGGGCCCTGGGTGGGATGATGGCAGGTGGAGAGGGGGCTGCTTTGTTCACCCTGATGACCTTTTCCCGTGTTTCCCAGGTGTGCTTTAAACTCTAGAATCATTTTAGTTTCCAGAATGTGGGAGTGTTGGGACTTCCCTCGTGGTGCAGTGGTTAAGAATCCGCCTGCCAGTGCAGGGGATACGGGTTCGAGCCCTGGTCCGGGAAGATCCCACATGCCACGGAGCAACTAAGCCCGTGCGCCACAACTACTGAGCCTGTGCTCTAGAGCCCACGAGTCACAGCTACTGAGCCTGCGTGCCTAGAGCCCGTGCTCCGCAACAAGAGAAGCCACCGCAGTGAGAAGCCCACGCGCCGCAACTAGGGAAAGCCCGCGCACAGCAATGAAGACCGAACGCAGCCAAAACTAAATAAATAAATAAATAAATAAAATTTTTAAAAATGTGGGAGCGCATTTCACTGAATAGCGCTACTTCTTTTCCCATCAGGATTTCAGACAAGTGTGAAGCGGCTCTCCAGGGAGATTGTGGAACTAAAGCAGCGTCTGGAGCACGACAGGATCCAGGAACTCACCCAGATGCTGCAGGAGAGCCGTAGGTGCCTGCCCGGGGCAGCGGGCCACTGGTCCTGAGCCCACGTGTGTCGCTGGGTTGACTCGGAGCTTGTGTGAGCTTCTGCGTCTTACTGAGCAGCGAGGTCCTTCCTGCTGCAGCTTCCTGGGAGGTGTTAAGGGGGGACGAGGGGCGAGGGAGAGGAGGTGCCGTGTCCTGGAGGCCTGCGCGTGCCCCCTCGGCGTGGTGGTTCTCAGCTGTTCTCGCAGAAACAGATTCCACCTTTGCCCCCAGCTCAGATTTTGTGAAGAGACCTGCGTGCTGGCAAGCGGGTGGGGCTGCGGAGGGGAAGCCGCGGCAGTGGGGGGCAGGCCTGAGGGCAGCACTCCCGCCCCACCCTCCCTTTTCCTCTGCTCTCCCCCCGCCCCCTTCTCACTGTCGGAGGAGGTCACCACAGCGGCCAGGCTGTGACCTTGTGGGGATTGGAGGCCACAGGCCCCTGGGCCCATCCCAGCACAAGCCCCGTGGGGGAGGGCAGGAAGGCCGCAGGCGGGTGGGCTCCGTGGGCTCAGTGTGGGCAAGGCAGGGCCGCAGCGCCTCTCGGAGCAGCAGGCGGTTAGGTGCTGAGCCTCCGCCTGGCCCGTGGCTCTCCCAGTGTCCCGGCAAACGGGGTTTGTCGCTGGCGTGGCCAGCTTTGTGGAGAACGCGGCCCCGCGCTATCTGTGGCTCGTGGCGCCACGGAGGTCCCTCAGTGCCAACCGGGTGAGCTGGCAGCCTGGAGACGGGGTCGGCAGCGTGCAGCCCCACTTCCCTGCTGAGATTCCTCCAGAGTTAAAAACGGCCACAGCATTAAAGAACCCAGGCCTTTCCCATTGTGCCGTGTCCGTGTCAGAAGTGCAGTTGCCCGCGAATTAGAAATGTTTCCATCCTTGGACCTTTTCTAGAACTGGAACATTGTTTTCTTGCTGTGAAGATGGAGCGTTCTTGTCAGAGTGTCGAGGGGCCTCCCCTCCCCACCCCTTCAGCTCCCGCGCCGCGCCATCGGGGCTCCTGCTGGGCCGGGGCTGGGGAGATAGCCCCGCCAGGCGAGGGGCAGCAGCAGGGCCAGCGCGAGGGCCCCCCGGGCGGGGACGGGGCCTGGGACTGAGCGCTATCCCCTGCCTCGTCTCCAGGTACCTGGTCAGCACCAACGAGCACCTCCTTCGGGAGCTGGGCCAGGTGCGGGCGCAGCACGAGGCCGAGGTGGAGCCGCTGCACTGGAGCCACAGGGAGCTCAAGAAGACCGCGGCCCTGCGCCCCAGCGCCCGCCCGCGTCCGCGCCCTGAGCGCTCCTCTCTGTGGGTGTCTGTCTTCAGGGCCTGTGGTGCAGCCGGGGGGGGGTCTGAAGTGTCCTAAAAAGACAGGCTCATCCAAGCCCCTTACATGTCTTGAGACAAACAGGTCAGTAGTTTTTCATCAAATATCTTGAGACAGAGAAAATACTGTAATTTTCTGCCTAACGTGCAAGAAAGCAGCTCTGTAGGACGGTTAAAGAAAATGATTGATTGTGTGACAAGCAGCCCTTATTTAATAAAGTAATACATTGTTCTAAAAAGTCGCTCTTCGATTATAACTGAGTTTCGCGTTGAGTTCTTTTATGAAATAAGCCGTGCACCACAGTTGATGAGCACGAACTGCAAGATCTGAGACTAAATACAAGTAACACCTAGAGCTGTGAAGAATACTATTTGTGGCATTAACTTTCCACAGGGGAAATACCGCCCAAGCCCCGCTCTCCTTGGTTTGCAGTTCATTTCTGAAAATTATGTCCTAACAGGGCGTAAAATTAGATTTTTAGATTGGAAACGTTGTATCTCAGGTAATACTTGCTTTCTTTCGTGAAGCGAAGTGATTGTTGAGAGTGCCGTGCGGTGGACTTAGGGAGCAGAGCTGCAGGTCGAGAGCAGGGGCTGGCGCGGGCCCTGGGGCTCAGGAGGCGGCCCTCGCCTTCAGGTCACGTTGCGTTTTCGTAACCACAGGGAAGTCGGTATGGGGGTGCGTGTTTCATCATGAGATTTTTTTTTTTATTTAAAGATTTTCGCACGAATCCGTTTTCAGCTTGTAGAAGGTTGTCACCATGCTGTTACTTTATGTTTCTCGTTTGGGTTACGTTGAGCTTTGTATTTTTCATCAAATGTGGGAAGTTTGGGCCACGATTTCCTGTTATTTCTCCCTTGACCCGAGCCGCCTTTCCAATCCCCTCCCCCCGGCACTCCAGTGACGCCACGTCAGCCCCTGGGTCTGGCCCCCCCTTTCCCTAATCTTGGGTCTTTTCCTCCTTAGTGTTCTAGGAGCTTCGGTTGGGTGGTCTCTGTTGTCCCGTCACAGAGTTTACTGCTGTTTCCTCCATGCGCCTGATCTGTTGTTGGGCTTGTAGACTGAATTTTTAATTTTAGAAATTGTATATTCCTTCGTAGTAAAATTCCACTTGGTCCTTTTTTATAAAAAGGAAAGAAAATCTTTTTTATAAAGGTTTTATTTCCCACTATGTTCATGTCTCATTTAACTCCTTAACCATATTCTGAGTAGCGTTACTACAGATCATCTGGAACTGTTTGCGAAGTGGTGACACCAGCTAACGCTGCTGCTGGCAGGTACGTGGGGACACCTGCTGGCCCTCGCGCCCCACACTTTCCATCAAGCTTCTAGAAGTCCGCCTCCTAGGGAGTCCTGCACCTGCTGCCCCGTCGGCCAGGGTGAGCACCTGCCTTTCCAAGGTGCCTGGTCCAGGATTTTCCCTATTTTCCTACCGGATAGTCTGTCTCTTAACTTGTAGGAGTTATTTGTAGTGCTGGATACTAGTACTTTGTGCATTATGTTTGCAAATAGCTTTTTCTTGTCTTTCCACATTTTAATGGTGTGTTTTGATGAAGAGAAAATTTAAACTTTAAAGTTTTTTGTTGTTGTTGATGTGGACCATTTTTAACGTCTTTATTGAATTTGTTACAGTATTGCTTCTGGTTTTTTGGCTGTGAGGCATGTGGGATCTTAGCTCCCCGACCAGGGATCAAACTTGCACCCCCTGCTTTGGAAGGCAAAGTCTTAACCGCTGGACTGCCAGGGAAGTCCCAATTTAAACTTTAATAGGATGAAATGTATCAGTCTTTTTCATGATGATTTTTCTGTCTGTTTTGAGTATTAGATACACATTCTACCTGGAATTGACTTCTGTGCGTGTTGTGAGGGTTAAGGACCCGGTTCTGGGGTTTTCACATGTAGCATCATGCATTCACAAGACTCGTTGGTCACAAATGATTCGTGTGTCTGTTCCCTCCACTGGTGTCCAGTCCGTCCCTGTGCAGCACGACACTCCGTAGGTCAAGACCTCCCACCCCATGTCAGGGTGTTTGGGCTACTTCTGACCCTTTGAATTGCATGAGCTTCAGAACTAGCTGGTTAAGTTGGGATTTTGTCTGGGATTGCATTGGTCGGTTTGGGAAGAGCTGACATAGGTAATATTGGGTCTTACAAGCCATGACTGTAGTATCTGTGTCCACTTATTAGACCTCCTTTAATGTACGTTAATTATAGTTCTATGATTTTCTCCATGGAGGTCTTATGCATCTTTTGTTATGTTTCTTCCTAGGTTTTCCTTATTTTGTGATGCCATGTCTAAAAGATGTGTTTCTGAAATGTGCTTGTTTGTGTCATATGGAAATTATTATATATCTATTATATGGAAATATAATATCTATTATATGGAAATATATCTAATATATCTAATATCTAATATAATATCTAATCTAATATCTAATATCTAATATAATATCTAATATAATATCTAATATCTAATCTAATATCTAATATCTAATCTAATATATCTATTATATGGAAATAGAACTGATTTTTTGTACATTAGTTTTACACCCAGCGATCTTGTTAGACTCGTAATAATTCGCCTGTAGCTGCCTAGACTTCCCAGCACCGTCACGCCTGCCGTGAGTGATGGCGTTTCTTTCCTCCGTTCCAGTCCTTTGCTCTGGGCTTTATGTTTTCTTCTCGGTGGTGTTCTGAGTTTTGCTCCTCTGTGCTGGGCGCGTCTAGTGTAATTGTGGACTGTGCGTGCTAGTGGAGTGGGCATCTGTCTGTGGACTGTGCGTGCTAGTGGAGTGGGCTTCTGTCTGTGGACTGTGCGTGCTAGTGGAGTGGGCATCTGTCTGTGGACTGTGCGTGCTAGTGGAGTGGGCATCTGTCTGTGGACTGTGCGTGGTGGTGGAGTGGGCATCTGTCTGTGGACTGTGCGTGGTGGTGGAGTGGGCATCTGTCTGTGGACTGTGCATGGTGGTGGAGTGGGCATCGGTCCTGCTCTGGCGCTAAATCAGAGGGGGCTTTTACCACTTCACTGAACTTGCGCCACTAAATTCGGGTTTTGGTGGCCTTGCTCCTTCTGTTGTTAATTTGCTAAGAATTTGTCATCATGAGTGGATGAATAAGACACTCTGCTGCCACTACTGAGATGACCATGTGACTTTTCTCCCTTGTCCTATTAATATGGTTATAACTACAGTAACTTTCTGGGAGAAGCACGACTTACTGATGATGGGCTTTCCTTCCATACACGTTGTTGTACGTGGTTTGTGGGTGTTTTGTGTAGGATTTCGTGTTCCAGGTGTGCCACTTAATGTCCCCCTGGGCAGTCAGATTCTCTGGGCCTCAATGTCCTGGCTGGCAGTGCCTGCCTCGCAGGCCATCGTGAGGGCTGAGTGACTTGTGAGTACGGTCCCGGACAGGTCGCACACACGGCCGGCACAGCGTGAGTGTGGCTCTGAGAAGAACGTGGTACGTCCGTGTCCAGGGTGACATTTGTCCTTGCATGCTGTTCTTGTTGGGGTTTGCGTCATCACTATCCTCTATTCCCAGAAGAATTTGTATAAGATTGTAACTGTTTCTTCCCTGAATGTTTGAAAATTTTTAATTTATTTTTTAGTTAGTTGATTTACAATGTTACGTTAGTTTTTGCTGTACTGCAAAGTGGTTCAGATAGATATATATAGAGAGAGATATATATCTGTATATCTATAGATATATCTATATATATGTATACTTTTTCATATTCTTTTCCATTATGGTTTATCACAGGATATTGAGTAGAGTTCCCTGTGCTACACAATAGGACCTTGTTATTTATTTTATATATAGGTAATGTTTATCTGTTAATCCCAAACTCCAAATTTATCCCTCCCCTCTACCTTTCCCCTTTGGTAACCATAAGTTTGTTTCTGGTGTCTGTGAGTCTGTTTCTGTTTTGCAAAGAGGTTCATTTGTATCATTTTTTAAAATTCCACATATAAGTGATATTGTACTTGTCTTTCTCTGACTTACTTCCCTTAGTATGACAATCTCTAGGTCCATCCATGTTGCTGCAAATGGCATTATTTTAATCTCTTTTTATGGCTGAGTATTCCATTGTGTATATGTACCACATCTTCTTTATCCATTTGTTGGACACTTAGGTTGCTTCCATGTCCTGGCTATTGTAAATAGAGCTGCAGTGAACATTGTGGTACATGACTGTTTTTGAATTATGGTTTTCTTAGGGTATATGCCCAGTAGTGGGATTGCTGGGTCATGTGGTAGGTAGTTCTATTTTTAGTTTTTTAAGGAACCTCCATACTGTTCTCCATAGTGGCTGTTCCAGTTCACATCTTGTGAGGAGATTTTTGACTTGATTCAGTTGAATTATGGTTCGGCAATGCAGCAGAGTGGGTTCCCAGGGGCCGTCCGTGTGCCTCCCCTATAGCTGGTTTGGGGCCATGTGACCAACTCTGCAAGTGAAGGAGGCGTGTCTTCAGGGCCCAGCAGAGAAGAGCTGGTGGCCGCCCAAGTGGCACCCCTCCCCCCGGGCCCCAGCTGGCCTCCGTGTGAGTGAGATGCATACCTTGTTGCCCAGCCCCTGGACTTCCGGCTTCTCCATCGCCATTGGTACTCACCTGGCCAGCACTGTGCGGGCTTCCCAGTTCTTCTTAAGTTAGTTTTCATAAGTTACGTTATCTCTAGGAATTTGTTCTTATGGCCTAATTTTCAGGTTTTTTGGCATGACACTCAATCTTTTAATGACACTTTAATAGTTTCAGCATTTGAAGTTGTGTCCTTGTGGCAGAGATGTAGGGGCAGGTGTGTCCCTTCACGCAAGACCTTGCTGTTCAGGGGACGGGATGCAGCTGCCGTGGCGTCAGGCTCTGTCCCAACTTCTGAGCTCAGGACCCTCGTCCAGGCAGCCCCAGTCAGTGACCGAGTGACCCCAGCAGGGCCCGGGGATGCCTCCAACAGGCCGCTGACTGGGATCCTGGGCCAGCTTGGCGGTGGTCCGGAGGCCTCCGCTCCTGCGTCCTCCTGTGTGCCTCGGGGGTTGCACCCCCCGTGGACTGCTGACCGCCTCCGAGCGGCTGCGCGGCCCCCCTCATCCTCCTTGGTCATTCCTCATCCTGGCGGCTGAGCTGTTGCCTCTTCTGTGTTTCTCTTGCTTTATCGCCTAATGTAATGGATACATTTTAGTTCAAATCTGCCATCTCATTCTGTGCTATTTGTTCTACTTGGAGGATTTCTTTTCCTGTCTAGTGTTGCCGTTCTTAGATAATTTTCTGTCATTCACATTTTCACCTCTGCAAGTTTAGAGGCTGTGTGCCCTGTTCCTGGTGTGGTATCACAGCACATGTGTGTGTTTATTTGATCAGCACTCCTGACATCATACACGAGCCCCGAGCACGCGACTCCCTGTGCACCCCTTCTGGCTTGCATGTCATGCTTTTCAGGTGCCTTAATGAAATATTTTGTTTAAATGAAATAGTCACTATTTACCTGTAGTTATTTATTGTTTGCCCACTTCTCTCTCACATCTCACTCTCCGTCTCTAATCACTCTCTGCGTTTACAATTTCCTTTCTCACCTGCTGGCACGAGTCTCCCCATCATGGTCTAAAAACGTCCTCATTTTATGTCAGTTTTGATGGCGTCATCCCCGTTTTCAGGGCTGATGTGGGCGTCCGTGATGTGGTTTGTGTCCAGATCCCACTCCCGGCCTCGCACCTGGAGGGCGGCTGGCGCTCCCGTAAGCTGCAGCCTCCCCTGGGTGTGTCCGTGTTACCGTAGTGCCCACGCGACTGCCCGTGCACACAGCGCATTTAAGGACCACAGACCCACGATTCAACACCTTTATTTGTCACTTTACCAATCTGACACAGTGTTAACAACAGGGAACACACGAGGAGGTTTGCAGACAGACAGGGGCTGTTTCACCACAGGTTTGCAAGCCAGGCCTTGCCCCGCAACTGACAGGTGACACCACACCTCGGCCCTACAGACGCCCCCAGAGTTCCTGGTGAGTGTGGTTCTGAGTCAGAGCACCCGTGACGTCCACACTGCTTGTCCCATCACACTGCAAAGTGATGCCCTCATCGCTCCCTAACAGTAAGAAAACAGTGCAAAAATAGATCGCATCTATATATACATTTATTTCCCTTTCCTGAAAAAAACTTAGTACAAACTAGTAGCATATGATCCCTTTCAAGTTTGAGTTATGTGCATCTCCTTTGTTGTTTGGCTTGGTTTGGGGAAGAGAGAAAGTTAACTAAAGCATCTCAAAGTGCAGGGCGACCACCTCCCAGGAGTGCCCGGGGCCACCACTGGCCACACTCTCCACTCCCACGGACAAAGGCCACACCCGAGCCACGGGATTTCACGGAGGGCTCAGTAGTCAGTCAGCAGAGGGAAGCTACTGAGGGTCAGAGTTCCAAGGACATGCTAGCCTTGTGGTGACTTCACAGTACAGCTGAATTGTCAACCTGAGTGGACGGAACAGGTGACAGTGGTGTCCCCACCTGCGTGCACTGTGGGACGGGGTGTGCCAGCTCGCGCGGGAACATTCCCAGAGGAGGGAGCCTGCTGGGTCCTCAGGGGTGGGGACAGCAGCAGCAGCCTCCCCTAAAGGTCCAGGCAGTGGCTGTTGCAGGGTTCGTGGGCCGTGGCGTCTGTGACCGATCTCCCTGCCGCCGGCGTAGCCACAGAAGCAGCCACGGGCGGTGCGCGGTGCGCGGCAGGGCCGTGTGCCGTTGAGGCTTGATCCGCGGCAGCCGGTGGCTGAGCAGGCCCAGGCTTCGGGTGTGTGAGCCTCTGTCCGCTGGGTGCTTCAGAGGGACGCCTCGGCCTGCCCTGAGCTCTCGGCCACTGGGGCGTGGACGTAGCGCAGCTTAGGCGGTGCCGCTGGAGCTCCCCGTGCCTCTTCCTGACTGTAACTTTCATTGGCCTCAAACCTTAAGACTGAGGATACTCGAGGTGTAAAAATACTCCAGTATAAATATAGATCTCTTCCTATATTTTAAACGTACGTAATTTGAACTTCAATTCTGGTGAACTGACCACCGCCTAGGTGCTCATCCTACAGCATTAAATAGAAATAAATAAGTACTGTGGCACGATGTCCTCCAACGCTCGCTCTGCTGTCCCGGCGCTCGGCGCTGTCAGCGTGGTGCACCCTGACCATGGGCCCCTGCTTCCTGCTGGGCTTGCTGTGCAGTTTCCTTCGTTCACAGAGAGACACGTAGTTTCTAGTTAACCACAGTTAGTAGAAGCGAATGGGTGTTGCATAGAACATGCAGCGAAGGCGCACACCTGCCTGTTTGTCCACAGCACCCAGAGCCTGAGGGAGGCACGTGTGTCTGTGCAGAGCTTGGAGCCCGAGCGCCGTGCTGTGTTTGGGCTACACACAGATGCCGTGACGGAGCCGACGGGGAGGGGGCCACCGCTTCCTCCTGCCCTGAGTGGGGAGATGTGTTTCCAGGGCTACCCTTTGGGAAGGAGGCCTCAGGCGGGCTGGGGACACCTGAGACCCAGCCAGACGCCTCGGCCTCCGCAGCTCGGGAGCCCGCGAGCGCGGGGCCGGGGCGGGGGCAGCTGTGTGCGCTAGACTTTCCTTAACCCAAGGGGGAGGTGCCGCCGTAGCCATCGGGAAGATGGGTTTCCTGCTGCGGGTGGCGTTGGCCCCAGGGCGGGGGGCAGCGTGAGGAAGCGTCCCAGGACGCCACTGGCGTGGCTTCTTCTGCTCAGTCCGCCTCCCGTCTGCTCCTGGGCAGGCCAGCCCCTGACCGGCTGGGAGGGCTGGACCCGTGTCCTGCCGCGGGACGGCTGTGCGGGGCGCTGGGCTGTCAGGCAGGCGGAGACCCACGGCGGCTGGGCAGAGGATGGGTCTGGGGAGGAGTCCTGTCCCGAGTCCACAGAGAGGAACCGGCTGGCACTGGAACACGGGCTTTGCCATCTGTGATCAGCTTAGTGCCCACAAACACTCTGCACGTTCAGAGTTCTCTGCAGACGCGATTCCCCAGGTGACTCTTGCCTCTGGAGGGAGGAGAGGAGCCCGGGGCGGGGCCGGCCTCCTGCCTGCCTTCCCCTAGCCCTCGGGCCTGTTTCCTGGTGGCGGATTGGGGGCCTGGCCGGGCAGCTTCGGATCCCCAAGTTTTAGAAACTTCCTAGATGACAGCGATTCACATCTTCGCAGTGTGCCCCGGATGCCTGTGCTCCGTCACTTCCTGGGTGATCGCGCGGTGAGGTGCCTCAAGACGAAGCTGCCCGCAGAGGCCACCACCATCCCGGGGGAGCCCCCCGCCATCCCGGGGGAGCCCCCCGTGCGAGGGGCCCTGTCGGCTGGGAGCGCTGGCCTGAGCCCCTCTGTGGGTGGGCAGGTGTCCCAGGTCCAGCTGTGACCAACGTGCCTGCCGTGGCAGTGCTGGCCTTTCTCACGGCCACCTGTGCCGTGGGCCAGGCCGTGTGTCCTCACCGGCCTGCTGCGCTGGACACAGGACAGATAGTGGCAGGGTGGTTGGGTGCCCGGAAAGCAATCCCTGGGGGCTGCCATGGGCTTTCCCCGGGACCGAAACCAGGACCACAGGGTCCAGAGGGTTACACGCCGGGCTGTGGCCATGTCCATGCAAAGGGACACACCGCCAAGGGCCCACTGTGACAGCAGGAGCCCCACCCCCACCCCGGCGTCTCAGAGAAACCAAACCCCGCAGATGCTACCGGCCTCGGGCCCTCCCCTGGCCTGGTCCTGCCCTGCGGTTTCTGCACTCCTGAGCGGGGAGGACAGGGCAGGCCGCTCACGGAGGCTCCAGAGAGGCCAGAGGAACAAGGAGAGAGCCGTCGCACTACCCGAAGCCTCTAGCCCAGGGCCCCCGGGGTCTTCCCGGGTCGGGGCGGGGACACAGGGGCCGCTGGGAGGGAGTCACAGAGACGGGATATTCTAAGTCTTCCCTGAGCCGTTCTGAGAATAAACATGCATCACTGTTTCCTATTTCTTCTCAGAGACGTGAAATGAACTGCCCTTAGTTTCCATTTTAAAATCTTGTGACGTCACACTTGGAGTCACTTTGGTCGACAGAGGCTTCTTCCTTTGCACGGCAGCCCTCAGCTCGGCGCCCGCCCTCAACGCAGACCTGGCGGTCGGTTTGTGCGTCTGAGCGCGTGTGCGTGCGTGCGTGCGCGGTGTGTGCGCAGTGTGTGTGTGTGCATGCGTGGGTGTGTTTGTGTGCTGGGTGTGCAAGCGTGCACTGTGATGCCCGCCTCCCACACCTCCGTGGTGCTCTCCGGGCCCCACGGTGCCCTGTCTGGGGCTCCCTCTGCTTTATCGGTGCTGCTGGTTGGTGCCTTGGCGCTTGCGGGTCAACACCGCCCCGACAGGGTCTGCCCACCAGCTCCTTTAAAACGCCCCCTTTGCTGCAAACCAGTGGCCAGTGTGGTCTGGCCCCGAGAGACACTTTGGAAAGGGCCATCTGCCCACTTCCTGGCGGGCACGAGGCAGGTGTGTTAGGAAAGGTGAGTCGGGGCCAAAGCTGGGGTGGAGGGGAGTGCGGGCCCGGGTGGGAGGGAGGCAGGCCTGGAGCCTCCGCGGCCGCCCAGCCCCGGGTCCGAGTCCTGCCTGCAAAGCACAGGAATGTAACGAAGTGTGAGGCGGTGGGGGACCGGACGACGGGAGAAGGCCCCGCCGGCTACTTGCCCCCCTGCACCTTCTGGTCGTAGGTGCCGGCGTGCTTGTAGCCCGGCACGTAGCCCGACTCGTCCACCAGGTCCACGCGGCCCGCCCTGCCCTTGCCCCTGCCCGACGGGTCGAAGCGCTCCTTGTGGGAGCCCGTGAACTTGGTGGTGTCCGTGAGCCGCGACACGGTGGGCGAGGAGATGGCTTTCTGCAAGAGAGCGGGGAACGAGGTTAGGGAAGCCGCCAGGGCGAGTCCAGCCCAGGGGCCCAGACCGCGGACGGGGGCCGCCGGCGCCCGAGAACCACGCTTCTGCCTCCTTCCCGAGACCCGCCCGCCGCACTCACCGTCACCCCCGAGATGATGGGGGCCTTGCCCTCGATGAGCCGGTGCACCTCTCGGACGGCCTCCTCGCTGCTCTTGTCTTTGAATCTCTTCTTGGCCAGCTCCTCCAGTGCCTCCTTGAACTGCTCGAATGAGATGGTCCTGCAGGACTTGCCCCTGCAGGGAGAGGGGGCTCAGGGGGCGCCCACCGGGCCCAGGCAGGGGAGGAGGCGCTGAGCAGTCACTGGGCTGGGACCCGCGCCCCACCCAGGGCCCCGCTGACATCGGGGGACCCCTCACCCCACCTCTTTGCCACAGCCCAGAGCGAGTCTGCCATTAAAACACAGAACGTGCCCCTGCCCCGCCCTGGTCTGCAGCGTTGCACCCAATAGTCGGTTGCCATCGGCAATGGCAGCAAATATAAATCGTCTTGGAACAAAGTTGAAAGGAAGCACGTCCTTTATGAACGACTGACATCAAAACACATCGAGGTCTGGTTCTAAAGCGGGCGAGCGTGTGGCCTCCATCAGAGGGAAAGTCAGGGTGAAAAGCACGTCAGATCCCGTGGCACAGAGGCAGCTGCAGTCCTGGCTGCGGCCACCGGCCTGCGCGGGGTCGCCAGGGGGTGGGGGGCACGGTCCCCACTCAGGGACAGGACTGGGGGCCGCCTCCCCGTGGCCGGGGCCTGACCAGCACTGGGCGGGCTGGGGCACAGCCGGGACCCGGGAGCAGCTCCTCCCCCGGAGGCATCCCACGGCTGCCCGGGACCTGGTAGGTCATTCTCGCAATTTCTTTCTCCTCCCTCCCTCCCTGTCTGGCTGCGTTGCTTCACGCGGGCTTTCTCTAGTTGCGGTGGTGAGCGGGGGCTTCTCATTGCAATGGCCTCCCCCATTGTGGAGCACGGGCTCCAGGCGCGTGGACTCAGTAGTTGTGGCGCACGGGCTCAGCTGCTCCGCGGCATGTGGGATCTTCCCGGACCATGGCTCGAACCCATGTCCCCTGCGTTAGCAGGCGGATTCCCAACCACTGTGCCACCAGGGAAGTCCATTCTCACAATTTCAAAATGGCTCTAGACTGGCTCTTGCTCTCTACGAATTTTAACTGAAAAACACTTCTGCCACTTTGGATCTTCCCCAGCTAATCCATCCGGTGAGGCTGTCAATGTTCTACAGTAAGAGGAGGTGGGGGGAGGTGCCCGGGGACCAACAGAAAGGCTGCCTGCAGAAGCCAAGGGGTCGAGACAGTGCAGCCGACGGCACCCAGGGGACCGGCTGGAGAGGCGAGGGCAGAGTGGGAGGGCGCTGCCCCCACGTCAGCACCGGCCGCAAAGCCACAGGGACGGCCGCAGAGCGGCCACAGGACAGTCAGAAACAGGCCACGTGTAAGGGTTTTTGACAAGGTTGCATAAGCCAATGAGTGCAGGTGGAACTGTCCTTTCAGCGGCCGGAGGCTCTGCACAGAGGAAAGGGCCTGGCCTGTGCCCCACGCCGTCTACGAGGTTAACTCAACTGGCCCACAGTCCTGCATTTCTCATAGACCCCGAACCATCCAACTTCTGGATAAGTATCCCAGTGAAACTCTTCGTGACCCTGGCTTAGGCAAAGATTTTCTCAGGAACGACCCCCCAGAAACAGCCAATAAAAGAAAAACAATGAACTGGACTTGACCAAAAATTTTAAAACCATGCTCTTCAAAAGATACTGTTAAGAGAAGTAAAAGGCAAGTCACAGATGGAGAAATCTGATAAAGGACTTGTATCGGAAATACACAAAGAACTCATACCTCAACAACAAGAAAAAAACCCAATGTAAAAAGTTGGGCAAGGGCTTCCCTGGTGGCGCAGTGGTTGAGAGTCCACCTGCCGATGCAGGGGACACAGGTTCGTGCCCCGGTCCAGGAAGATCCCACATGCCGCGGAGCGGCTGGGCCCGTGAGCCATGGCCGCTGAGCCTGCGCGTCCTGAGCCTGTGCTCGGCAACGGGAGAGGCCACAGCAGTGAGAGGCCCGCGTACTCCAAAAAAAAAAAACAAAAGTTGGGCAAAATATTTGAACCGGACACTTTGTCAAAGATCTACAAGTGCAAACCAGCCCGTGAAGGACGCTCCACGTCACTGGGCACCGGGGAAATCAGGTTAAACCGGGATGTGGCCCTGCCGCACACCCACTGGGACAGTGGAAGTAAGCCAGATAAAAGGACACCACGGTGTGGAAGGGTGCAGGCGGCAGCATCCCCCAGAGGTGGGCTGGCAGCCCACGCACAACCCCGCGACCCCTCCTGGGTCTCACTCGCACGTAAACCTGTGCGTGTGTATTGCTCTCCTATTCGTGGGTTCTGTTCAGTCACCAGGACTCCAACAGCCCAGCGGTAAGCGATAAACATGCCTCAGGACGTCCCCTGTGCATGCCGGGACTCACAGGCACTTGACACGTGAGCCTGCGGACACGGGACGTGCTGACCAGCCAGCCCAGGGTCGGGAGACAGCGGAGGGAGGACACAGCCGCAGGGGCCATGGGGAGGACGACCGAGTCGTGCACCAGCGAGGCCACGTGGCGGGTGGTGAGCGGAGCCCGAGAGGCCTGGACGGCTGTCGGGAGGGGCACCTGCACCGCAGGCCTCATCAGAGCCCCCGTGTCCGGCGGTGGGTTCCACCCCTCAAAGCCTGGCTGCGACGCCACAGCGGCTCTGAGGTCCGTGGGCTGGGCCGGGGGGATCCCTTGGCCCAGCTGTCCCGGGCAGCGTGGTCCTGGCCTTGTCGGGGCGGGGAGCCTGGCATCCCTGCTGGTTGCTGACCCGCGACGGCTGCGGGGCCCCGCTTGTTTGTCCTGGGTTGTCCAAGGCGCTCCTGTCTCTATTCACGGACGCCAGGCCTGACTGCCAGCCTGGTGACCGGCCGCTGGGGCACCAGGCACCACCAGTGTGAGTCACTCGGGCTGGGGGCGGGGGCGTGGCCGACGGGGCCTCCATCAGAGGCCGCATTCACGTGGAGTGGGCGTGCGGGCCCAGGGCGCTGACCTGCCTGCTCCACCTGGCGGGGCCGGGTGTCCCCACGTGTCCCCACCGTGACCGCCAGGCAGGGTCTCAGAGCCCGGGCTGGGCTGGCAGGGAGCTTTCCCCAGGGGGCCCCGTGGCCCCCGCTGGAAGCAGTCCCTGGGGAGTTCTCGAATGACACTGCCAGCCTCTTCCCTGGAGACACGTGATCACTTTACACGGCTCCCCACACACAGGGAGCCTGTTCTCCAGAGCGCACAGAACTGGAGGGGGTCCCCCTACCAGACCCCCCCTCCTCTGGCTCAGCGCTGGGGCCAACCAGTGCCCTGCTCAGAAGGCTGTTGTTCTGCTAGAAAGCTGGCCCAGCAGTAATGGGGTCACTGGTCACACACGAGGCCCCGTGGCTTGTGCTTCCCAGGCCCTGTGTCCCCAGACCTCCAGGCCCAACACAGGGCAGGCAGAGGGCTGAGCCCGGCCACTCCCGAAGTTCACCAGGGGCACTCGATGCCAGGGATCTGGGCGGGGTGGGGGGTAGGGTGGGCAGCGCAGCCCTCCGAGGACAGAGGTCTGTGTCTCCAGGGCCAGCGTCATGAAGGCAGCTGGACTTTGGCTAACATGTCCTAGGACGGAGCAAGGGGCCCCCTCTGGACCACAGATAACATGCCACTTGGGGGCTGGAGAAAGCTGACTCCCAGGCTCCCCTGAGCAGCAGAAGCTGGGACCTGGGTGACCTGTCCAGAGAGCAGGAAGTGGGATCTGGAGGGGGAGACTCAGGCACCAACGAGGGTCAGAGGAGGGAGCCTCCGGGATATTCCCATCAGACCCTGGGCCAGCGGGGCTGTGCGGGTTGCCACGGGAGCGCTGTCTGGAGGACCTGGATGCCGTGTGAGGATGCAGTGTGATGTGGCAGCTGCCCACACGTCTGGTACCAGGCCTTGGGAGCGGGCAGACGCCAGCCCCCTGCTCCTGGGCCCCAGGGACCACGCTGCTGGCAACCTGGAAGGAGGCTGCTGACACCCATGTCTGGAGGCCTCCAGGCCGGCCGCCTGAAGGGCAGCTGTGACCCCAACAGTCGGCTACTCCCCAAGCAGGAAAGAGCGTCCTAAGTTCCTCCTGACTTCGCGAGGGCCTAACGCAGGCTGGAGGCTCAGGGATGGGTTCTGGGGACAGATGCACTTGAGGTCATTGAAACCACTTCTGGGTGTTTGGGGAAGGTCATCAAAAGGCCTGTGTGCACTGGCGTCCAACACCGATATCAGCGGTTTGAGGAGCCAGCATGGGCGGAATTGCCCGATTCCTGCCCCCCAAGCCTTGGCCCTCTGTAGACACGCCAGGCAGGCCCCAAGGAGGCCAGGGCAGAAGCCGCTGGATGCCCTGCACAGCTTCGGGAGGCCGGGAGAGGCCCCCGCGGAGGACACTGTGAGACCCCCAACGCCACAGCTGGAAGCACGTGCTGGGACCAGGGCCCCGAATGCCGCAGCCTCACCCACCAGGCTGCGGGGAGGGGCAGGGCAGGGGCGGGCGTCAGGCCCTGAGCGGGCGCTGGGCCCCGCTGGCGTGCCCGGGGCCGCACAGCGCACCCGGCTCTGCCCGCCGCTCCCGAGGCATCCCGCCCGGCCTGGGTCTCTGCACCGATGCGCCGAGCTCTGCGCTTCAGAAGGTTCCCTCCGCAGCCCGTGCGGCAAGAATGGCCCGCGTCCCCGCCCCGGCGTGCGTGCTCCTAACCTGCAGCCCAGACAGGGCTCCAGAGTCACGGGAAACGCCACCATTGGCCAGGAAGCCGGCGAGTGGGGGCCAGGAAGGCCAGCAGAGCCCCCCTCCGCCTCTGGCCTTCCCGCCTGGGCACACACGCAGGGGACCCTGCGGCCCACAGACCCCCCGGCGGGACTTATGGGAACGGGGTCCTGAGTTAATTCCTCCCGCCCTGGGGCCGGGGGGCGGGGCCGGGGGCAGCCCTGGTCCCGGAGACAGCAGTCTTCAATCAAGGCCTGGGGAAGAGCTGCGAGAAGCCTGTTTAAAACTTAACACATAGTAACACGCAAACAAACAAGCGCTCCCATGACGACGGGCCTAAACAGAGGCTGCAGATACCGCGCTGGCGGCAGGGCTGCGGCGCCATGGCAACCGCCCCAAACAGCAACAGCCGTCGCCGTCGGCGACCCGTGCGCTTCCGCGCCCACGGCTCCCGGAGCTGAGGCGCTTCTGCCGCGGCTGCCACCTGCAGCGGCCGCGGTCCCACGACCCGCGCGCCCCACGCTCCTCAGACCCGGTCCCCCAGCGGTGGCTCCCAGCCTGTCCTGCAGGACCCCACGACCCGACTCAGGGCACCACCCCCCGAGGCCCCCCCAGGGAGCACTGTCTCCCTCTCCGTTCCCAAGGGAAAGGTCCCCCGCTGCACAGCTGGGAGGTCCGGGGGACCCTCCCCCAGAACAGGCTCTCCCAAGTGGGACACAGGTCACAGGGACCCCACAGGGAGTTCAGGTCCAGGAGGGCAGAGGGGGAGTAGCCACAGGCTGGTCTTCACTCTGTCTTGACCACGACCCCTGGCCGGGCCGGGGCCGCAGCCGCCCACTTCCCGCGCCGGCCCGCGCCCAGCGAGCCGAGGCAGAGACCCTGGGGCCCAGAGCAGCCGGGCTCTGAGGTGGGGCCCCCGTAGTGCCTGGGCGCCAGGGGCCAAGCCTCCTCCCTGAGTGTCTGAGCAGCGTCCTGCCGTCCAGAGCGGGACCGGAACCAGACGGGGCTCCCTCTCCCGGGGCGCAGGAGGGCCCGTGTGCCTCCACGCACGGGGTCTCCAGGGCCTGTCCAGGGCGTCTGTCCTCCGGGTGAGCCGCGACCGGCAGAGTGGAGACCTGAGTTCTACCTGTGTGTGCATGCACGTGCACGTGTGTGCGAGTCTCCGTGATGCCTCGGGGACGCTGTTGCTGTTCTCAAGGTGTGGTCACAGGGTGTGAAGGGCAGGAGAAGGGGGAGGGGGCGTGTCGATGCCCGGACCACACGCCCGAGCCCGTGTGCACACGCGTGCAGACACACACACGGACAAGCACACGGTGCCCACCGTTCGTCACCCCCGCTCTTCACACGCGAACGTCCCCCAGAGCTGAGGGGAGCGGCGCCACAGACGCCCACCTCCCGGCCCGTGCCCCTGCCCCCAGCAGCCCCCCACGGGCCGGGCTCTGCCACCTGAGACCCCTCAGGCTGCGGCAGCGTCCCTGACCTGGGCTCCCGGCCCCACTGGGGCGTGTTCTGGTTCAAACTCCCGGGCATCTTCTTCCGGGCGGGGACGGCGTCCTGAAGCGTCGCCTCCTGGCCGCCCGAGAGAACGCGGGGCCCCGCTCCCACCCCCCTGGTCCCAGGCGCACACGTACTTGATCTTGCTGAAGACGATGTCCACGTCGGTGATGGTCACGTTCCTGCCGTCGATCACCTGGCAGTCCCTGCACAGCTTGGACCAGTTCTTGCCATGCATCTCCTTCCCGGTGGCCCTGGTGTCCCCGTGCACCGCAAACCTCCGGAAGGCCTCCTCCAGGGCGCTGAGCTCTGGGCCCGCGGCGGCTGCCCCCTCACTGGCACCCTCCGACTCCAGTGACAGCCTCTTGGCTGCCTTGTCCTTCGCGGGGTCCCCTGGGGACTTGGGGGGCGTCTTGTTGGCGGGCTTGGGGGGCTTGGGCCTGCTGTCAGCCATGCTACTGGGAGGAAGCAGCGAGAGGTCACCTGCTTTTGCGGGCGGCTGCCCAAGGCCCCCGCTGCCCGCGGACAGGGGCTGTGGCCTGCCAGGGACAAAGCGTCCATCTGCTGCAGGACACGGCGAGGCCCCTCCAGCCCCGGCGCCCTGGCCGCCAAGTCCCCGACAGTCAAAGCCTCCAGCACAGGGAGGCATGAGCCAGCCTCCTGGGGGCTCCTCGAGTGACACGTTCCCGGGCATCGGTGGGGTGACACCATCCTCGGGGAAGGGATCCAGAACGGTCACACTGCTGCGCCCACCTCAGCGCCCGGCCTGCTGACCAGGGTGCCCCCCACCCAGGGGGCCGAACAGACGTCTAGTAGGAGAGGGAAGCCCCAGGCGAGAGCAGGGGTCTGCGGAGACTCCGAGGGCCGGGGGGCTGCGGCCCGGGCCCAGGGTAGGGGGGCTCATGTTGGGGGGGTGGCTGATGGCGTCAGGAGCCCAGTGAATGCCCAAAGCTGGGCCCGGGTCCCCACGGGGCTGAGAAGACCCCTCCACCTCCAGCAGCTCTGGGGAGCCGGGAGCTGAGCACCAACACCCACCCCCAGAGTCATGGCTAGTGGTCAGCGGGGGGAAGTGGGCAACCTGGCATTGTGGGGGTCCCGAGCAGGGCCCTGCTGAACTCAGGACCTACAAGTTCCCCAAACAGAAAAGGCAGTGCAGCTCAAGAGGCTCAGTGGCTGGTGAGGACGGTCCAGGACCCCGGGGCTCAGGGCAGGGGGACACGACTGGGGATGTGGTGATGAGCTCCAGGAGCCAGCTCTCCATCCTGGGCTCCACGTTTGTAGCTTAATAAAGTAACTTGAAAATTACTTTAACAAAAACAACAGGAGTGAGACCCTACACGCAGATGGGAAGCTCTCCAAGGTGACTTCCTGTTGTGGGGAGAAGCAAGACGGTGGGGGGAGCAGCCGATGTTGGAGACATCGAGGACGAACAGTACCCACGTGTGGGCCTGCACCTCGTGACCAGGCGTCACTGTGGCTGGCTGTGGACGCGGCAAGCCGGAGGCCCCGCGGGCTCCAGCCCTGCTCCCTCCACGTGACGCTTGTCAGCAGCTGGTCCCCGGGGTGGGACCCGGGCCAGAGGTAGGAGGAACAGGTGGGTGGGCAGGTGAGGTGGAGAAACTGTGTGAGTGTCACCTGGCCAGGCCCTGCTGAGGCACGGCTGACCCCGCGGGCTCCGGAGTTGGGAACTGATGAGGGATTCACGGCGGGTGTGGGGATGGACTGCATTACCGATTTGCATTTTCAAATGAGGGTTTGGAGAGAGCAGGGCAGCTGCAAGGTGGGCTCACAGACCAGAGAGGAAGGAGATGCAGGACGGGCGGACCTGGGGATGCCTGCCCCAGAGTGTCCACCAGGCTCCAGGGACCATCCCACCACGGGGGCCCAGCTGTCTTCAGACACCACGTGATCCCCTGGCCCACCAGCCCCTCACAGGCTGTCTGCACCCCAAAAAGGCGCCACGAGGCCTGTGTCTCCAGAATGATTCTCCCTGGCAAGGCCCTTAAGACGCGACTGTCTGAAGAAAAGCCTATAGGAAAGGCGACCCAGGACAGACCCTACATGCCACAGTCACAGCTTCCGCGCGCCATCAGCACACAGCGCCCCCGGCCAGGAGAGCTGGGAATCCATGTTAGCAATGTGCCTGCAACAGGGCCAGGTGTGTCTGTGAGCTGGGCCAGGTGTGCCTGTGTGCTGGGCCAGGTGTGCCTGTGAGCTGGGCCGGGTGTGCCTGTGAACTGGGCCGGGTGGGTCTGTGAGCTGGGCCGGGTGTGCCTGTGAGCTGGGCCCGGTGTATCAGTGAGCTGGGCCGGGTGTATCTGTGAGCTGGGCCGGGTGTGTCTGTGAGCTGGGCCGGGTGTGCCTGTGAGATGGCCTGGGTGTGCCTGTGAGCTGGGCCAGGTGTGCCTGTGAGCTGGACCAGGTGTGCATGTGAGCTGGGCCAGGTGTGCCTGTGAGCTGGGCCGGGTGTGCCTGTGAGATGGCCCGGGTGTGCCTGTGAGATGGCCCGGGTGTGCCTGTGAGCTGGGCCAGGTGTGCCTGTGAGCTGGGCCGGGTGTGCATGTGAGCTGGGCCGGGTGTGCCTGTGAGCTGGGCCAGGTGTGCCTGCAACAGGGCCGGGTGTGCCTGTGTGCTGGGCCGGGTGTGCCTGCAACAGGGCCAGGTGTGCCTGTGAGCTGGGCCGGGTGTGCCTGTGAGCTGGGCCGGGTGTGCCTGTGAGCTGGGCCAGGTGTGCCTGTTAGCTGGGCCAGATGTGCCTGTGAGCTGGGCCAGGTGTGCCTGTGAGCTGGGCCGGGTGTGCCTGTGAGCTGGGCCGGGTGTGCCTGTGAGCAGGGCCGGGTGTGCCTGTGAGCTGGGCCGGGTTGCATGTGAGCTGGGCCGGGTGTGCCTGTGAGATGGGCCGGGTGTGCCTGTGAGATGGCCCGGGTGTGCCTGTGAGATGGCCCGGGTGTGTCTGTGAGCTGGGCCGGGTGTGTCTGTGAGCTGGGCCGGGTGTGCATGTGAGCTGGGCCGGATGTGCCTGTGAGCTGGCCCGGGTGTGCCAGTGAGGGGTGTGCCTGTGAGCTGGCCCGGGTGTATCTGTGAGCTGGGCCGGGTGTGCCTGTGAGCTGGGCCGGGTGTGCCTGTGAGCTGGGCCGGGTGTGCCTGTGAGATGGCCAGGTGTGTCTGTGAGCTGGGCCAGGTGTGCGAGCTGGGCCAGGTGTGCCTGTGAGATGGCCAGGTGTGTCTGTGAGCTGGGCCAGGTGTGCATGTGAGCAGGGCGAGGTGTGCATGTGAGCTGGGCCACGTGTGCATGTGGGCAGGGCCAGGTGTGTATGTGCGCTGAGCCAGGTGTGCATGTGAGCTGGCCCACGTGTGCATGTGAGCTGGGCCAGGTGTAAATGTAAGCTGGGCCCGGTGTTGTTTTAAAGGCAACAGCAACTCTGCCTCTCCTGGTTCCCCTTCCTTGAGCAGAACACAGGTCTGCACTGAGACTAAAGGTGGAGTGTGTGTTCCTGCTTCCGTAGGTGTGAACGCACCTCCAACCCCTGCTCCCCCAAACCAGCTCTCAGCCCCTCGTTCCCAATGCCCCTCCTCATACTGCCCATAATCTACACCCTACCTGCAGACACTTCCTGCGATCGGACCAGGCCTCAAGCATCTTGCCCCTTGGGATCCAGGTGCCTTCCAGCCCCCGGGGCCCCTTCCACCTCCTGGGTCCTCTGGGCCCGAAGCTCCGGGCGGGTGTTGAGTGCACCAGGATGGCCAAGGCTCGCTGGAGGGCGGCCTGGGGTGGGGGCTCGGGGGTGGCGTGCTTCTGGGGGGCAGGATGTGGGCCACAGGATGCGCATGTCGGAGAGCTGGGACCCGCACAGGGGACTCCCCACCTCCCAGGCCCTGAGGGGGCGCTGCTCAGGCCTCAGGCCCCGTCCCGCCGGCCTCCTTGACGCCAAACCTCCCGGAACTCAGAACCCTGCTCCACCTCACGCTGAGCGAGCTGGGCCGGCGGCACGGGGGAAACGCGGGACACGGCCCGGCCACGGCGCCCGGACCCCACCACAGGCTCTGCCGGGTCACCGGGCATCGCACCCCAAGTCCGGGACCTCCCCGCAACACAGCCACCCCACTGGCGAGCCCCCTACTTGAAGGGTCAGGGAGCCGGGGGGTCCAGAGGCCTCAGCGCGCTGTGGCCGCCGGGGCGCCCTGGGGGTGTCGCTGACGATGCACTAGGGCTCGACTGGGGTTCTTGTCACCGACCTCGTCCTAGAGGCTGCTCGGGACCAGGAGACCGGCCCGCAGGTGGGAAACGGCTCCCGGGACAGCGGACGCCGCAAGGAATCTTCTGGAGCCGCGAGCCGCGGTGGGAGCCCTGGGCTCTCGAGCTCCTCAGGCGTCCCTGGTCCTCAGCCCCGTCGGCCCGCCCCACGTGCCGCCCTCCTGCGCTCTCAGGGCCGGCATGATGCCAGCGCCCTCCAGATGTCTACATCAAGCTGGGCCCAGGGGCGGCACCCTCCACCAGGGCCAAGAGCCCAAGTCCCTGAGCCGTGGCTGCGCCTGCTGATGTGATACCGAGGCCTGGGGTCCAGCTGAGACCCCGCTTCCACGCAAGAACCACACGGGCCCTGGAAATGCCAGGTTCCCGAGCATCTGACAAACTAGCCCTCCTTGGACCTCGACGGAGCGCCTGACGCTGACCGGGCTGACAGTCTGCTGAGCGCACCTGACCTCGGCTGTGCAGGGGCCTGGCCACAGAACGCCGCTCGCCGGATGCCGCCGGATGCGCGGAGGCAGCCCAGAGGCTCTGCGCCAAGTGCGGGAAGGAGAGGAGGAGAGAGTGCAGGGGAAGCAGGCGCCTCCCAGGGCAGCCCAGCCCCTTCGGACGGCTCAGCCCACCGGGCCCGGTCCCAGGACTGATGCGGACGGAAGGGGCGAGGGCATAACTGCAGCAGCCCCCAGGTAAGTCCCAGGCACAGCTGCTCCGGGGCCGCACAGGAGGCCAGGGCGCCTGGTCAGCCGGTCCCGGGGAGAACCTCCTTGACCCCTGCCGGGTGGGCGCGCTGTACCCGCGCAGCCAAGATGAGGTGGGCGGGTGAGGGTTAGGACAGAAGATGCAAAAGACCAAGCGGCCAGAAGCCGGGGGGGATGGATGCCGTCGCCTCCCCCTCCTCCCCTCCGTCCACCAGGGCTCAGGCCCCCAGGTCGGGGTCCAGCTTCGCCCTCGGTGCAGCCCCTGGAAGAGGCACAGCCTCCGAGTGAAGAGCGCGAGCGGGAACAGAGGCGTCGGGCCTGCACACCCCTGGGCCGCCGGCCCGCAGCTCTGCCTCTTTATTCCAGAGTCCCTTAGAACACAACACAGCCCTTTGGCAACTGTTCACATTTTAACCATAATACGGCCACCACTCCTCGGCTGCCCAGCACTCGATGTGAATGACCACTCGTCCCAGGCAGCGGGAGCCTCCCAGGCGGGCACAAAGCGGTCTCTGAGTGCCTGCCCCGCAGAGCAGACGGTCCCAGGAGTCTCAGGCGTGGAGGCAGCCCTGCCGCCTCGGCGCTGCCTTTCACAGTCCCTGCAGGGCCCCCGACAGGACGGGACGAGCGGCCACACCGTCCAAGCAAGATGCCACTCGGTCCCGGGTCACACGCTTCAGGCCGTAGGCCCGGAAAGGCCCGTGGGGTTGGGACCTCCTGCACTGAGGCTAGGCCATCCCTCAGGGCAGCCTGGGAACCATAGTCACAGCCACACTGTCCCCTGCGCCCAAGTCAAACGCAGTTTCTCTGGGACGAGAGGGAAGAAGGTGGGTAGCTGAGCGGGTGCCTTCCTGGGGGCCGTGGCCATCCTGCGTCCCGCACCGTCCTGCAGTGAGATCACCGTGGGAGCCGCACCCTCGGGCCTCCTCGGGGCTCCTGCTGGTCGGGCTGGCGGGGGAGGGGACGGGGGCGGGGGGAGTAAGGGGCCAGGACAGGTTTGCCACCCCAGCCCCTCAGAAGAACTGATGCGGACAGCAGGAACTTCTCTGGGTCACCACGAAGCTGGGGCTTCTCGGGGGACTCACTCCGTTGGGACCCTTGGCCTCCCAGGAACCATATCCTGGGCCCCCCAGTCCCCCGGTCCCAGGGCCGGTCTCTACTGTTTGTCAGAATGTTTCTTACAAAATCCAAGAACACGGCATCTGCAGCCAACCTGGGGTCAGGCGGGCCCTGTGCAGGGCACGTGTAATGGGTGAATGGTGGCCCCGAGCCAGGTGTGTCCACGTCCTCGCAAGGTGGAGGAACCTTGTTTGGAAGAAGGGTCTCTGCAGACACCATCAAACTAACGATCTCGAGATGGGTCCACTCTGGACCAGGGTGGCCCTAAGTCCATTGACAGGTGTCCTTACAAGGGAAGGAAGAGGAGACACACAGACACAGAGAAGCCACGTGAAGACGGAGGCCAAGACGGGAGGGACATCGCCACAAGCCCAGGGATGCCCGGAGCCCCGGGAGCTGGAAGAGGCAGGAGGGACCCTCCCTGGTGCCTCTGGAGGGAGCGCGGCCCCGCGACACCTCAATCTCGGACTGGGAGTCTGGACTCAGAACTGGAAGAGGACACATTTCTGTAGTTTTCATTGAAAAGTCTGTGGTCCTTTGTCACAGCAGCCCCAGGACCCGCACACAGCAGGGACACCAGAAGGGGGTCCCTGCCCCAGAGAAAAGCGCCTGCAAAGGCCCAGAGACGCGAAGCCTGGGCGGCGGCACAGAACCCAGAGGCGAGAGCGGGCAGAGGGCACTCCCCGCAGACAGGGTCTGGCCTCGAGCTGGCGTGCACATGAGACCCTCAACAGGAAGTCTGTTAGCTCCAGGAACGTGGAGCTGCCCGCGGATGGCCTGGCCTCTCCCCGACGGCAGGCACCCTGCGGTCACCACGTGCCCGCACGGCAGGTCCTGGCGCCAGGCCTCTCAGGAGCCCACAGCGTGGAGGGCAGGCCGGGGCCCGGGGAAGCCAACCGCAGGGCCAGGAAGAGCAGAGGGGCCTGCGGGGAAGGGCCACTGCCTGGGTCTGACGGCTGGCAGGTGGGGGACAGCGTCGCCTGCGGGCCGCGAAGCCTCTCCTACCCCCAAGCAGCCGAAGAGGACAGCAGCCGGCACAGGTGTGAGGCGCAAAGCCAGAGGCAGCCCGAGGGTCTCCGAAGTGGCCTGCAGCCCAGCCCTCACTCCCCGCCCCCGCCAGACAGCTGGGAGGCTTCCCACCAACCACGGGGACTGAAAAGCCCCAGGCCCCCCAGCCGGGAGGGCAGGGCACCCTGAACAGACCAGCCC